GGGGCAATAAGCTGACTTTGTATAAATATACAAAAGTATGAAGGCTATTGCTTAACGCATTGTAAGCAGCCCTGAGTCTCTGGAGGAGGGCGGCATATAAATTAAAGCAAAAACAAAAACAAAAGAAAACAAAATGGCACCAGGATCTGCTGTGCCGGACTTTTGGGAGTTTGTACAACATTATGGAGGGTTAGAGACTGGATGTTGAGTTGTGAACCTTCATTTTTCTGGGAATGGAAAACTGGAATTTCAACAACTGAAAGTTCTGAGCTGCAGTAAAACACAACACATTGGAGGCAGTCTCCAAGGGGATCAGGGACACAGATCACTCTGGTAGTCTGGAAAACTAGGAGATTAGTGGGCTTCTTTTTGCAGTTAATTGGCCACTCTGAGAACAGACTGTTGGGCTAGATGGGCCCTGAGTCCAATCTGGCAGCGCATTGCTTAAGTTTTGAATAGGATTGCCTTCCTTCAGATAGAGATGGTGTGCAATTTGGGAATCTTTATCGAATCGTGTCACTTACTGAAAGAACAGGTGGCAGCCATGCTCAAAAGAGCCTCTGCACAGGTTTAGCTTGTGTGCCAGTTGTACCTATTTGTGGATTGCGAGGTCATACTCAAAGTAGCTCATGCCCTATTTATCCCTGTTTGGATGTGCTTTACATGGGGCTGCCTGTGAAGAGTGTTTAGAAACTGCAACTGGTCCAGAATTCAGAGGCATGGCACTTTTGGATATTCTTCAATAAAGTCATGTAACACCCCTGCTTTGTAAGCTCTAATGGTTTCCAGAACAGTTTCAAGTTTTATTCAAGATGCTGCTTATTGAGTATAAAGCTCTATGTGGACGATGCCAGATTATTTGCAGGACACCTATTAAGGAAACTTGTTTATGTGTTAATACTTTATTTATTGATTAAAAATGGATTGACCTCCGAAATATGTCTTCTTATTGTATGAGGTGGTGTTATTTTTGCCAATTGTATTGTCCTTAGTTTTAATCCTCTGTTTGCCAACTAGCGTTATTACTGAGAAGGGGGCTGTATATAAATTGCTTTCAAAGCAGGGACGGGTTTCAAAACCCATCACTACTGGTTCACTTGTGGGCACGCACTTGCTTGACACTTCTGCGCATGCACAGAAGCATCCGGGTCCTGCTGCCACCGTTACTGGTGAACTGGTAGCAATCCACCACTGTTTCAAAGATTTATAGAATGAGGGACAACATAACAAGCAGCCTCTTTAGTGTGAAAAATGCAGCAGATGTTAATTTGTTCTTTTCGAATTAAGCTATAAATCTGGTTTGTCATGTCATTAATAAAAGCTTTGTCAGCATAATCAAATTTATTTTTCCATGAATGTCTGCAAGAGGCAGTGGCAGATCTGGAAGAAGTATGTCAATTTTTTCTGTTCTATTACCCTGGTGACATGAGATAATTTGTTAAGTATGCATGGGAAATTGTTGGGATTCTGATAGAAGGAGTACAGGAATACAGTAAAATTTGGGAAATGCAATTCAGTTTTATGCCAGACAGAGGATTTACAGTCCAGATTTTGCTTTTCAGCAGGTATTTAAGAAATGTATGAATGTGAAAAATTATTGCATATTTGTTAATTTAAATAAATCATATAATAAGGCAAATAGACTTGAATTATGGAGTGTTTTGCATGAATATAGAATTTAAGGTTGGCTGCTGAATGTGATAATACGATGAAAATAAAGCATGTGTAAGGAATAATCAATATTTGAACAATGAAATAAAAATCTGTATGTTCCCCTAAGTTGTTTAATGTTTGTACATCAGGGGTGGGTTCTACTTACCTTTACTACTGGTTCACAACGGGGCTGTGCGTTCTTCTGCGCATGCGCAGAAGCGTTCTGATGATATCAGGGGTGGTGGGCGGAGCCTCCCTCCAATTTTACTACTGGTTCTATAGAACTGGTCCGAACCGGGGGCAACCCACCACTGTTGTACATATATGATTAAAGAAAGCTTGTGGTTACGTGAGGGATGATTTGGTTGTATTCATGAAAGTTCGTAATATATGCAGATATGTAATCAGGAATGTAATGCATGAATAAAATTAGACTAAAACAATAAGTATTAATTTACCTTGATGTTGTTTCTTAACATCCAATTTGGGGCAGTGGTTAAGGTGCTGCTCTAGAAATCAGGAGCTTGTGAGTTCTAGTCTTGTGTTAGGCATGAAAGCTAGCGAGTGACTTTGGGCCAATCACTGTCTCTTAGTCCAACCCACCTGACCGGTTGTTAGTTATGAAGGAAATAGAAGAAGGGAGGTATGCCTTGCATTACTTATAACAGGAGTGTCAAACTTGATTTCATTGAGGGCCGCATCAGGGTTGTGTTTGACCTTGGGGGACCGGGTGGGTGTGGCCGGGGGTGTGTCGGTGCCGCTTCACTCATGTCGAGGGCGCCTGTGGTGGCCTGAGTGCTGTGCCAGAGAAAACGGAGCTTGGGAGGGCCGCACTCCCAAACTCTGTTTTCTCTGGCAGAGGTACTGTGGACCGGTCCTTTATTGTTTCCAGGGCAGCCCCAGGGGCCAGATCTAAGCATCCTGCGGGCCTTGAGTTTGACACCCCTGACTTATAAAGTAATATAGGCAATTTTAAAAATCTAATACATATGAAAAAGGGAGTGATTGATACAAAAGAGATTGAAATGATTTGATAATATAAAAAGAATGATACAAAAAAAAATATGAAGGAAAATGAATGTGTTGGAGGAAAGATAGACTAAGTAAGCTATGGTTGGAAAGAACTGATAAAATCCTCAAAAATAAAGGAATTAAAAATGTAAAGAACAAAAGTTTACGTATGAAGTGATAATAGAAGCAAGGATTGTTTGGAAGGAAGAAAGTTATAGTATTGGTGTGAAAATATATAGCTATAAACTAGTTTAAATTCTCTCTGTTTAATTTCTTTGGCCTACTAATTCGCATTCTGTATGTTATTTACTTTGAAACAGAATAGCATGATGAATAGGTATGCATGAATAGGTATGTTGCTTAAGGTATGTGCTTAAGAATGGAACAGAGTGCAAAGGAGAATATGATCCCTTTACAGTTTGTGTGACCACATTTAGCAGCTGGTAACATCCTTATTTCATCACCCCATTGTAATGCTGAATCATGTTTTATAAATAGAACATTTTCTTGAAAAGTTACCTAGTTAGTTGTAGATTACTTATTGATGAATCTAACTAAAATTTAAACAGTTTTCCAGTAATCCTAGTTACATCTTTATTGGATATGCAGAAAAATGCTGAAGTGGTGTTACTTTATAGAAGACAGCTAACTCAGTTTCAAACTGTTTAACATGTACATGAGGCTGCCGGGTAAGGTCATCTGATGGTGTGTGGGGAGGTATCACTAGTATGCTGATAATACCCAGCTTTACTTCTCCGCTCCAGGCCACCTGAATTATGCTGTTGATGTCTTATCCCAGTGCCTGGAGGTTGTGGGGGCCTTGATGAGGCACAACAGGCTTTGGTTCAATAAAGCACGACTGAGTGGTGTTTGGTGTTTGGAACTTCTGACCCTGGAGCTTTTTACTACCTTTGGCTTTGGATGGGGTGGCGCTGCCTCAGATGCAATCTGGGGTTCTTCCTAGATTCATGGCTCCTATCCATAAAGCAAACCATGGTTAGGAGGGCCTTTGCACACTTTGGGGTTGCACGCTAATTTTGCCCTTTCTGGACTGGAAGCCTTCTTCGCTGTCACTCGTGATCTCACATCTGGATTAATAAACACTTTGTACATGGGATTGCCCTTGAAGAGCTTTCAGAAGCTTCAACTGGTGCAGAGAATTGCAGCATGGCCGTCAATGAGCCAATGGAAGTTAGTGGTGCCAGTTATTTGGTGCATGTAAAACAGTATTTTGTGAGTTGTATTGGTTGCCAGGTGCAAGTCAAGGTAGTGGTTGCATTTTTAAAGCCCTTCATGGCTTGACATTGAGTTACCTGAGGGACTTTCTCCAGTTTTTTCTGGAGAAACAACTGGAGGATGGGTGTGGTTCAGGTCCCATTGGCTAAGGAATATGAGTTGGTGGTGTTTAGGAGGTGTGCCTTTTCTGTGTAGGCACCTGCCTTGTGGTCCATTCTCCCTTCAGAGATTAGGATAAGCTTGACCCTGCTAACCTTTGGGAAGGCACTAAAGGCCTGGTTCTGTACAAAGACTGGCACCCTGACTGGGTGAAGGGGCCTGTTTTCCAACTGTATTAGTGGCTATTCATTTTGATACCTTCTTCAGTTGCTATGTACTTTAATTTTTGCATTTGGAGTTTTAATTGTTTTGAATTTTAGTTTAATGTTGTTTCCCACCCGGAGTCACTTTCTGAGATGAGTGACATGTTTATCTCTTATCCCTTTCCATGAATTTCCAATTTTAGAAGAAAATTGTAGATGGTAATGATGCAATACATTAAAAGCGGTAATTTCATCTTCCATACATACAAGAATTTCTGTCTATGTGTACCTCAGTGGTAGAGCAAAATATACTAGCTTTGTTCTACAATAGGAAAAGCTGTCTATCTGAAACTATAAATGCATATAATCAGTGTACAGATGATATCAACCAATGGAACAGAAGTTGCCTTCAGAAGTTGTGGGAGCTTCATCACTGGAAGCTTTCAAGAAGAGACAGGACTGCCATTTGTCAGAAATGGTGTAGGGTCTCCTGCTTGAGGGAGGGGTTGGACTAGAAGACCTAAAAAGTCCCTTCCAACTCTGTTAATCTGTTGGTCTCCGGATACTGTACCCCATGCTGTCGAATGACATTATCCAGTGATTTCATGTAGATATTAAAGAGGAGAGTCAAGAAACCCAAGCCCCGAGCCACCCTGAATATGAAACTGTGGCTGAAACTAAGATAATGGCATCCCACCAGCTTCTTGGATGTGATTTAAAGCTATATCATCCAAATTTTTATTCAATGTTATGATCAATGAAAGTATTCAATTTTATCTCCAATTTTATCAACTACAGGTTTACAAAGAATCTCTCCCCTGATAAAATCAACTTGAGCACTCTCAAAGGGCAGGGGCAGTTGACGAACCTAGAACTGGATGAAGAAGTTCTGCAGAATTTGCTGGATCTGCCCACTTGGCTAGCCATTACTCGAGTTTTTTGCAACAAGGCCTCCATCAGGGTAAGCCAAAATTCCCATAACTATTAATATTATTTTTAGTATTTTTCTGTCTTAATCATTTTTCTGATTTTTTAATTTGGATGTAAAGTTCCTCTGACTTTTTCTACAGATATTCCGATATAGGCATTTGAGATCTGCTATAGCAGTGGTCCCCAACTTCTCTAGCTTGATGGCCCGGCGCAGTGAGAGGTGGGGAAGGGGATGGTTTCATGCGAGTGGTGGGTATGTCACAGCTCCATTTGTGCTCATATGAGGGGAGCTTTGCACATGTGCACTTGCCTGCTGCTTGCCCGGCCCGGTTGGGGATTCCTGTGCTATAATAATTAGCAAAAAAAAAAAAAAAAAATCAAGTTCTGAATTCCAGATGCTTCAGAAATTATAGCATAAGCACTCTGATTACATTCAGCTTTAAATTGATTGTCAGTTTGCTGTTAGGCTTCACATCTTAGTATCAATCAAAATAGAGCTCGAAGCGATTTTGGATGTCTTCTAATCCATTCCCCTCTCAAGCAGGAGATCCTATACCCGTCATGGCGAACCTATGGCACGCGTGCCACAGGTGGCAAACGTAGCCATATTGGAGGACACGTGAGCTCAGCTCCAGCGCGTATGCATACACGCAAAACGGGCCTTCTGGTCCCACTAGAAGTTGGCAAATGGGCCATTTCTTTTTGGGCCTTCTAGGCCCACTGGAAGTAGGGAAACAGGCTGTTTCCTGCCTCTGAAAGGCCTGGGGGAGGGGTGGAGAAGGCCCGTTTTTCTCTCTCCCCAGCCGCCAGAGCCTTTCTAGGAGCTTGGGGAGAGCGAAAATGGCCTTCTCCACCCCCTCGGACCCCCTCCAGAGGCAGGAAATGGCCCATTTGCCAACTTCCGTTGGGAAGGCCCGTTTTTTGCTCTTCCCCAGCCTCCAGAGCCTTTCTAGAGCCTGGGGAGGGCAAAAATGGCCTTCCCCACTCACCCCCAGAGACCGTCCGGAGACAGGAAAGGGCTGTTTTCGCCCTCCCCAAGCTCCTAGAAAGGCTCTGGGAGCTTGGGGAGAGAGAAAAATGAGCCATCGAGTGCCAGGAGCAGGGGAGGGTCACACGCTTCTGCACGGGGGAGGGCGCATATGCGACCTCCCCCCGCTCCTGGCCACGATGGCAAAAAGGTTCACCATCACTGACCTATGCCATTTCAGACAAGTGACTGTCCAGTCTCTTCTTTAAAAACCCCAGTGATGAAGCACCCACAAGATCTGAAGGCAAGCTGTTCCACTGGTTAATTGTCCTCACTGTTAGGAAGTTTCTCCTCAATTCCAGATGCTTTTCTCCTTGATCAGTTTCCATTTGTTGTTTCTTGTCCTGCCCTCTGGTGTTTGGAAAATAATTTGACCCTCTCCTCTTTGTGGCAGCCTCTCAAATACTAGTCCCTCGGGAGAGGGGGCGGTATATAAATATAATAAACTATAAACTAGTATCATGTTCTCCCTAGTCCTTCTTTTCTCTAGACTAGCCAAACCCAAATCCTGCAGTCGTTCTTCATATCTGACACTTACTTTCATGCATAATTAGAGAGATTATATTTTGTGGTCATACTTGTACATTAATATAAAGAACACAGTGTTCTCTTCTTGAAAAAAAAATGCTGTAGGCTTCTTCGGGAATAAAATTAATTTTTCAGTTGATGTAAGCAAGTAATCATTTAAGCACTATTAGGATTGGTGTTAGGGCTAGAAGCTTCATGAAAAATGAATTGAAAGATTTATTAATAAAAATAGTATAGGCCTGATCTTTTTCTGCTGGAGTAGCAAAATCAAGTCTGCCTGCTGTGTTTTCTTGAGATGAGGATTAATAATTGAAACATTTTAGGGAAAAAAATTAATTTGTAACATCAGAATTATCTACTCAGTTCAGTACATGCACAGATAAACTATTTGGGTAATGAAAAAACTGTTTTTGTTTGTATATTTTTCTTCGTTTAGCTTCTGTAACTTTGTATGCTTCTTATATGCATTCTTTCCTGACATAAGGTCAATATACTTGCTGATTAATTAATATACTTTATTTGTTTACAGAGTTAAGTTCAAACAAGTTACAGTAATAAATGATTATGCTCGATATTTAAGGGCACATAAGAATTTCTTATGCACTGGGCTCAGGAGCCAACTTTTAGTAAGTGTAGGAAAGATGTACATGACAAACAGCAAAATTATGATTGCAACAGGATATATTTTATGTTTTCTGCTATCTTCATTTTCACTGCTGTTATATAAACCAGTGGTGGGGGGGGGAACATTGCAATAAGTTATCAGTTTGGCCTATATCACCATATGTTATTTACCTGGATATTAACTGCATTTATTTACTAATATTTTCTTCCAAAATTATCTTGTCCTTTGTTTGGAAGAAGACTAGTAACTGGTAAATGTATTATAAATATTCCATATGTACTGAAAAAAAGGGAAGAACAGAATAAAAATTAGCTTTCACTGATTTTAAAATATTATTCTCTAATTGGAGTTTTAGTGCTTAGCAAGCTTTTAAAGCAGTAGTCCCTAATCTTTTTGGCACCACGGACCAGTTTTCCACAGACTTTGGGGGGAGGTTTGCTTGCTTGTGTACTGTGACCTGCTCACCTCCTAACAGACCACGGACTGGTACTGGTCCGTGGCCCAGGGGTTGCGGATCCCTGTTGTAAAGGTTAACGTTTTCTGAACTTCATTACATGTCCAGTGTTTTGTGAAATTCGTAATAATTCATTCTAAGGTTTGACTTAGGTTTATAGTTTTTAAGACCATTATTAATTTTTATCAAACATTTCTTTGCACTTTCATTAGTACTAGGCAGAGGTGGGTTTCAACAGGTTCTGACCAGTTCTGGAGAACCGGTAAATACCATCTCTGAGTGGCCCCGCCCCCATCTATTCTCTGCCTCCAGAGTCCCAGGTGATCAAAAGGAAATAGGGATTTTGCAGTAACCTTCCCCTGGAGTGGGGTGGGAATGGATATTTTACAGTATTCTTCCCCTGCCATGGCCACCAAGCCACGCCCACAGAACTGGTAGTAAAAAACTTTGAAACCCACCACTGGTACTGGGAAGCGGGTGATTAATTTGTGCCCTTCACTACAGTATACTGGTGGGTCAGCTAATCCTCTGAAACCAGCTTTCACAACTAGGAGAATTCTGATAGGATAATTTGTGATCTTCAGAGGCAGGCTAGGGAGAAAGACCGCTTGAGGAGGGATAAAGATTTTTCACACCTGCTTACTTTTCTCTGGTGTGAATAGTATCCCGTAAGCAATCTCTTATTTGCTGATCAAGCAACCATAATAAAACTAACTGTATGTGTATTGTTGTGTTGACAGAGGCCACAGATGCTTTATATAATATATTGTTTTGAATATCTCCTTAGAGCAGTGCACTCCAAAGCCCTTATGATTTGGACATAACTAATTAGGTGTTCTAGAATGTGAATTTGTAGGGTAGCAGTTTGAGGCATAGCCATCAAATTCACCTAACTGATGGCTTAAATATCTTAATTTGTCTTAAATGTAGTTTGACAAAGTATAAGTAAGCATCAAAGTCCACAGCACAAAATTTTACTTTATTACCTTTAGCAGATTTGTATGCAGAGTATTTAATAAGGAATGGTTTTGTTTTTAATGACTCTGTATTCCATGCAGCAAATTTTGTCATGCTACTTTTCAGAGCAAATATTTTCTAGAACTGATCTTGTTAGTTCCACCCTAAACCTATTTAATCCTTGCAGCATTTCCTGTTTATTTAACATTAGTTCTGTTGTTTCAGATCCAGTGGACTAAATTGAAGACTCACCCAATCTGTCTGGTAATGGCCTTGTTTATCTCCTGTTTATCTGTCAGTAAGAATTTGTAATCTAGTTTATGTCTTTAAAAAGCATTCATTTTTAAACCTAAAAATAAGGGTGGATAATACTGTTGTTGGTCTCCATATAGATCCGTTATAGTTGTAAGCATAATTCTGTGTAATTTCTGTGATGAACATATAAATATTGGAAGTAATTAAGGTGTAAAATACACCGATGCTTCTCTTAGGTTTTCAGCATTGTGTTTGTAAGCCTTTTTTGCCATCATAAGAATCCAGTTTTGGGTGGAAACCCTGCCACATACTCCTGTAAAAAATGTGAATTGATAACATTTTACATGTATTATTCTGCTGTCCTAAGCTACATCTGATATTGTATATATGAGTAGACTCACTATATGCTTATTGTGGGAATGAATTTGAAAAACGTTTGAAAGAAAATTAGGCCAATGGCATTGTTTGGGTTGATTAAAATGTTCAGATTTAGAACAGATAAAGTTCTTTATATATTTTCATAATTAATCTGCAATTTATTACCACCAATATGGTAATGATTGCTAAACTAGATGACTTCAAAAGAAGGTTAGAAAATTAATAGGGAAGAAGTCTAATGAGAGCTATTCATATTGGAGACAGTATGTCTCCAAATACATGTTGCAAGGGAACAGTGGCAAGAGACATGTGTCTTCGTCTCCTGATTGTGAGCAAGCCAGAGAAACTTGTTTGGCTGCTGTGAGAAACAAAATGCTGAACTAAGATGGGCCTTGGCCTGATTCAGCAAAGTTATTTTTATGTTATTAATGACTTAATTTAAAGGGCCTTCTTTTTTCAGGTCCCATATGACAGTCTTTGTCATTGCTTTAGTTGGGGGTGATTTTTGAGGATGTGAAACTTGGTTGGCTTCTAATTTATGCTAGATGTTTTTGGATAGTAACAGTAGTGATATATATTAGTGTGGGGGACAGTATATGTATTTCTAAATAAATATAACATGTTGAAAACTTCAGCATATGAAACAATCCTAAATAGCTTAAAACTAGTGAGAAAAAGGTAAGGTAAAAAGGTACACAATATTACTTTTACCGATGTTAAACCAGGCTAGCATTGTTTACTGCTAACAAATTATAAGTTGATAGTTTTGCACATCAAAATCAGTCAAAAATACAAATCACATTCTCGGTTAGGGTTGGCAAACTGTTTTGTTGAACGACTAAAGGTTATGCTCACAAGTGAACTTAATTATTTATTTTGACAAATTCCTAATTGGTTTATTCAATGGTTTTCTTTATAACTGTGCTTTGCACATTTGTGGATTCATTAGAAGCTACATTAAGGCAGAAAAGTAAACCAGAAATCTACCAGGAGCTTACAATTAATTCTGTTCACACGTCATGCCAAGCTAAACCACAGTCTAGTCAGTAGCTAATCCCAAAATATTTACTCCATTTATAGGCTTGGCTAAGAAAAACAAACTTCATCACTATTAATATGAAGTGTAACCCAGTAACTAGATTAGGAAAGAATTCTTATTGTTTAACCCCCTAGTATTTTTTAATTTCACCTTGTTTTCTCCTAGTTCCTTCCATGTACTTTCATTCCATTTCTCCATGTTTTTCTCTTTGTTGTTTCACAGTATTTGGATAAAGTTGAAGTGGAGATGCGAACATGTGAAGAGCCCAGGCCACCCAATGGACAGTCTCCCATTGCTGTTGCTTCAGGACAGAGGTAAATTCTGCTTCTAATTTTTTCTTAGTGTGCTTTTTTTCAGCTAGGAATTCGAGACTCCAGGCATGGGGTGCAACCTTTGTTTTTCTAGTTCAAATGGTACTGTGTTGCAGTGGTGTCGGTGTCGGGTTTTTAACAGGGTTAAAAATGGCAGCTGCGACCAGACAATCAAAGGCTCATCTTTTTAAAACACGTTTCACACTTAAAATAAGACGGACTTTGATTGCCTTGTTATGCATGTTAATTTGAAGCCTATAAATATCAAACAGATTCCTCCTTCAAATTTTTTTTTCTTGATATCTTCCTCTTGTAGCTACTCTCATATTTTCCTAATAAGGTGCAACTAAGAGCAGCATCTATTATATGGATGGAACCCAGATTACAGTTAATTTTCCCAGATGTTGGATGGGCAGTAAAATAAATCTTGTTGACTTTTGTTTTGTTTCGTTTTGAGCTGCTGAAGAAGAAAGAATGATGTAAAAGAAAGCATTCTATTTTATGGCTCTGGAATTGTCTTTTTGAAAAGAAAAATAAAATTTACATACATAAGATATGTCACAGCTGTACTAAAGCTGGGACCATAGCACACTGTCATTTTGGGACCAATATTTAACAAAAGCCATGCAATTTATAATGTGCTTTGTGTTTGCTTGAAGCATTAATTATAGCAAAGAAGATTTTTTAAAAACAAGCCATATGGTTCTTGCTTCTTTTGTTATCGGCTTCATGAGACAAGCAAAGTTTATTTGTTTGTAGACGTATGAAGATGTTTAATATTTTTAATGATTTTTTTAAAAATTGTAACTAATAAAATTGAAAGAAAACAATCTAGCTATCTGTCCTGACCTAGAAAAAATATAACTGTGTAAGCCTAGCACATTTCCGAGTTACATGCTTTAATGTTTAAGATGAGCTAAAGCATTATACTCCATTAAAAATTATTTCCTTCTCTACAGTGAATATGGATTTGCAGAGAAGGTTGTGGAAGGTATGTACATTATTGTCAATTCAATTACCATCAAGATACACTCCAAGGCCTTCCATGCATCATTTGAATTATGGCAGCTTCAAGGATATAGTGTCAACCCCACCTGGCAGCAAAGTGATCTTCGCTTTACCCGAATCACTGATTCACATAAGGGAGAGGTAGGCCCATAAACAGATGTCCTTATATTTGGAATGCTTTCTGTAGACTTGCAAAGATTTTAACATTTAGTTATGTTTTTCGTTGCTCTGCAGATCTTTTTTGATTTCTGTAGTTTGCCACAACCATTTTGAAATAAACTAAGCTGCTTGTAATTTTTTGTTCTTTCTTAAATTGCCTGTTTCCTAATCTATAATTTACAACATTACGTTAGACAACTTTAGGAACTTTTTTTTTATTTTGTATCCCTTGCTTCCCTCTGGATAGGTTTTAACATTTAAAGAACTCACCTGGCAGACTCTTCGAATAGAAGCTGATGCTACAGAAAATGGAGAACAAGATCCCCTCACTACCCCTCTAAGACTTATTACTAACCAGGGCAAAATCCAAATATCACTTAAGAGGAAGGTGAGTATATATTTTGCTGAAAAGTATTATTGGGTAGAATTATTAATATAACTAGAGTTTGGGTAATATGCATAATATATTTTGATATGTACATTAAGAATTCCCAGCTAACCCATAATAAGATAAAACAATGGAATATATCTTTCCCCAGCTGCTCTGGAGTTCAGAAAACAGAAAAACAGAAGATTTTTTTTTAAATGTAAATTTGAATAATATATTCCAGTTGCAAAGTGTGAAGCTCCCAGTTGCACAAGTTAGAATTATTTTATTAATGAAAAATTTCAGATCCTTGATTTTTAGCAAAAAAAAAAGGATTTGATATATGATATACAGGTAGTTCTTGACTATATGTTGTTTTAAAAAGGGTCTGAACAGAAACTTGTTAAACTAAGTTTTAATAGGTTTTAAATAGTTGTTAAAGGGTTGAGAGGAAGGCCTCCATTAAATGCTTAGGATATAGTGGTAGTCTTCCAAGTAATATGAAGTATAACTTCTTACCTGAGCGCTTGTTTCATATTTACAGCCACTCTGGTCAATTTTTCTTGTATTTCCCAGACTTTTTTTGGAACAGCAGTTTATACCATGCATCTTTTAAAAATTTTGTATTCTTAACTCACATTATTAAGGAAGCCAGTTTATTCTATAAATACATGTTGAAAAATCATACAATGCATTTTGTTTAAAGTACTGGGAAATATTGATTGTTCCTTTCTTTTTCAAATAAAAGTGATATATTTAATTGTGTTCGGAGATTATTTAGGAATCAGCCCATTTGCTAGTTTATGGGAAAAATAATTTAAAGATGCTACCCAATGAAGCTGCTTATTCTTGGGAATAAATAACAACCCTTTCAGACAGCGTACTGATCTTTTTCTGTTTATGAGCCAGACAAAGGATTGCAATGTGGTGGCATCTAAGCTCATGTTCCTCCTTGATGACTTGTTGTGGGTGCTAACTGACTCTCAGCTGAAGGCAATGATGAAGTATGCAGAGTCCTTGAGCGAAGCCATGGAGAAATCAGCTCAGCAGAGAAAAAGTTTGGCTCCTGAACCTATCCAAGTAAGCACCTTTAACACATGTAGTAAGATACATTTATTCTCTCTCTCTTTCTCTCTCGTTCATGTGATATTGTTGATTGCATTTATGTCTCACTATGGTAAGAATTGACTTTCTGATAGTTAACGCAATATAGGCAAAATTAAAGTTATATTTTAAAAGTTAAAATAAACATTTTAAACAAATGTTTAAAACAAACAACTCCTCTTCCCATCCAGTCAGTCAGTAAGAAAGGCAAAGATGACTGAGTCTTAACTAAAATGCTTTTCAGAACAGCTTGGTCTTCAGCATCTTCCTTGAATGTCTCATGGACAGGTCAGACTGCGCTCTAATAGGAGGCCGTTCCAGAGAGCTGCTGCTGCTGCTGCTAAAAGGCAGCAAGACCTGGCCTCGGTTCCTTTTACTTCTCCAAAAGTGGGAAGTTAAAAATAGCTTCTCCTGAGATGATTTAATAAGTAGGGCCAATTTTGATTGAAGTAAGCAATCCATCAGATTTGCAGGTGTCAAACCACAAAAGGCTTTATAGCTCACAAAGCTTTAATTTGCCAAAATAGCAGAAGCATATTGTTGTTCCATAGATATTTAGGATTGCATCCAAGTTGGATATTATGTGAATATGAGACATACTGAGATTTAAAAAAAACAATTAGCAAGAGGAGAACAAACAGTAATATTGTTTTCTGTTCCTCCAATAGTTTACTATGTTGCTTCTCATAAGATTACATAGTAAACTGTACAGGTAGTTCTTGGTTAAAGACTCACTTGTTCAGTCACCATTAAAGTTTCAATGGCAGTGAATGAGTGGTACTTGCAAGTTCCTTGCAGTTCCTGCTATTGTAGTGCTCCATGGTGACATGATTAAGATTCAGGCACTTGGCAACTGGTTCGCATTTGTGGCAGCTTCAGCCTCTCATGATCAGTGATCGCTATTTGTTATCTTCCCTGCTAGCTATCTACAGTTGCAAGAAAAAGTATGTGAACCCCCTTGGGATTACATGGAGTTTTGCATGAATTGGTCATAAAATGTGCTCTGAACGTCAATTAAATCACCATAGAAAAACACAGTCTGCTTAAAATAATACTACACAAACATTAGATGTTGCCATGGTTTAATTGAACATAGCATGTAAACATTCACAGTGCAGGGAGGAAAAAGTATGTGAGCCCCTAGCCTAATGACTTCTCCAAGAGCTAATTGGAGCCAGGAGTGAGCCAACCTTGACTCCAATCAGTGTGATGATATTGGATGTGTTGCTGACAGCTCTCCTGCCCTTTAAAAATATACACCTGTTTTGGGTTTACTGGTTTCAAGAAGCACTGTCTGATGTGAACCATGCCTCGCAGAAAAGAGCTCTCAGAAGACCTACGATCAAGAATTGTTGACTTGCATGAAGCTGGAAAGGGTTACAAAAGTATTTATTTTATTTATTTATTTATTTATTTATTATTGAATTTCTATACCGCCCTTCTCCCTGAGGACTCAGGGCGGTGTACAGCCAGAATTAAAAAACATGCAGTACAAATATTAAAAACAATTAAAAGATATATAAATTTGGCCCAATTAAAACTCACTACCAATTAAAACATTTAAAACATTTAAAAACATTTAAAAATTTCTTCTTAAGCCAGCCCGGCTTGCTTGAAAAAATGGGTTTTAAGGGCACGACGGAAGGCACTGAGGTCTTGGATTCTCCTTATCTCCGGGGGCAGCTGATTCCAAAGGGTAGGTGCCCCCACAGAGAAGGCCCTCCCCCTGGGGGTCACCAGCCTACACTGTTTGGCTGAGGGCACCCCGAGAAGGCCCTCTCTGTGGGAGCGCACGGGTCGATGGGAGGTCGTCAGTAGCAGCAGGCGGTCTCGAAGATAGCTAGGCCCTATGCCATGGAGCGCTTTGAAGGTGATAACCAGCACCTTGAAGCGCACCCGGAAGACCACCGGGAGCCAGTGCAGCTCGCGCAGGAGCGGTGTTACCTGGGAGCGCCATGCTGCTCCCGTCACTACCCGCGCTGCTGCGTTCTGGACCAGCTGGAGCCTCCGGGTGCTCCTCAAGGGGAGCCCCATGTAGAGAGCGTTGCAGTAGTCAAGGCGAGAGGTGACGAGGGCGTGAGTGACTGTGCACAGGGTATCTCCAAAAGCCTTGATGTTCATGTGTCCACGGTAAGACAGACTGTCTACAAATGGAGAAAGTTTAGCACTGTTGCTACTCTCCCTAGGCGTGGTCGTCCTGTAAAAATGACTGCAAGAGCACAGTGCAGAATGCTTCATGAGGTATAGAAAAATCCTAGAGTGTCAGCTAAAGACCTACAGAAATCTCTGGCACATGCTAACATTTTTGTTGACACATCTACAATAAGGAAAACATTAAACAAGAATGGAGTACATGGGAGGACACCACGGAGGAAGCCATTGCTGTCCAAAAAAAATATTGCAGCACGTTTGAAGTTTGCAAAAGAGCACCTGGATGTTCCACAGCACTACTGGCAAAATATACTGTGGACAGATGAAACCAAAATTGAGTTGTTTGGGAAGAACACACAACACTATGTGTGGAGAAAAAAAGGCACAGCACACCAACATCAAAACCTCATCCCCACTGTAAAACATGGCGGAGGGAGCATCATGGTTTGGGGCTGCTTTGCTGCCTCAGGGCCTGGACGGATTGTTGTCATTGATGGGAAAATGAATTCCAGAGTTTATCAAGACATTTTGCAGGAAAACGTACGACCATCTGTCCGCCAACTGAAGCTCCGCAGAGGATGGGTGATGCAACAGGACAATGACCCAAAGCATACAAGTAATTCAACAAAAAAATGGCTTCAACAGCACAGAATACGCCTTCTGGAGTGGCCCAGTCAGAGTCCTGACCTCAACCCGATTGAAATGCTGTGGCATGACCTTAAGAGAGCGATTCACACCAGACATCCCAAGAATATTGCTACACTGAAACAGTTTTGTGAAGAGGAGTGGTCCAAAATTACTCCAGATCGTTGTGCAGGTCTGATCTGCAACTACAGGAAACGTTTGGTTGAGGTTATTGCTGCCAAAGGAGGGTCAACAAGTTATTAAGTCCAAAGGTTCACATACTTTTTCCTCCCTGCACTGTGAATGTTTACATGTTATGTTCAATTAAACCATGGCAACATCTAATGTTTGTGTAGTATTATTTTCAGCAGACTGTGTTTTTCTATTGTTGTGACTTAGATGAAGTTCAGAGCACATTTTATGACCAATTCATGCAAAACTCCACGTAATCCTAAGGGGTTCGCATACTTTTTCTTGCAACTGTACAAGCAAAGACAATGGTAAACTGGCAGGGAGGGTTGCTTTACTTTTCCCTCTAAAGACAATGTTAACTCCACGTTGTTGATGTGTCACAGTATATTGCTTTATTTAGTTACTTATTTAATCAAGATAGCTGCTCAATCACTAAAACAACCGTAGGCAGTATTTTAAAAAATACATAAATAAAAAGAGTAATACAGTGATATAAAAAACGTATACATATGAGATTGTATCAGGAGAAAAACAGTACCATAAAAAAAAACAAGCACCAAGCATGGTTACAAATCTCTTCTCCCAGTGCCTGACTAGAAAACAATATCTTTGTGGCTCTTCAATATTAGATTAATAAAGAATCCAGTAATTACCTTAAAATGAAAAAAAACTTTTGTGAAAGATAGAGAGACAAATTATCAGGGAAGTGTAGAGGCCCGGAAATAGTTGTTTTTATTTTCTCACTTGTAAGCTGCTTAAATGTGGGTGAACAGTATTAGGTGTTAGGTCAAGTGAGATGCAGGAATCATTCCTGCATACTGTGTTCTTCAACATTTTTATTAATGACTAGAAAAAGAGATGCATATTAGCAGATAATTCAAAATCAAACTGCATCTGGAAGGCTACAAATTTTAAAGTCTGAGCCTTTGGGGCTTTGTAGTTGACTAGAGGTGAGGGACAGCTATTCTTTCATTCATATTTCCTTGGCTTCAGTCACGATCTCAATAATTGTTACCCTGTGGTAAGATGGGAAAATTTTTATAAATAAATAAATAAATGTTCATTTTCCCCTGTGGGTTCGCTATATTGTAATTTAGGAAACAGGTATAATGACCTCCCTCTCCCCATCCCACACTGCCCCTGCAAAAACAGCAACAATAACGGTCTTTAACAATTATCCCAAGATCCCTGTTTTCCATTTTGGCTTTCTGTTTTCTAATATTCATTCAGGGATTTGAATTAGAAATTCTGCCTTGAATTAATGCATTTCAAAGCTTATTTTTTCTGATCCCATAGGATGATTTGAGGTCTTCTGATACTATGCCATCTCCATTGTTCCTCTTAGGTTCTGTATAGGTGTAAATTAGCACTTAATTTTTCTGTATTACAGATCACGCCTCCTATTCCCAGTACCCAACAATCTTGGCCGCATTCATTTGGCAGCACCCATAAAGCTATCAGCCAGTATTTTGAAATGTATGATATGAAAGAGTCTTCCTATCACCTTCTTATTTCCCGTCTGGACCTTCACATATGTGATGATAGCCACACTCGAGAAACAGGTAGCTTTCCCTGGGATGAAATTGGGAGAGCGGGTGGGTTTTCCCCCCCGCCCCCTAGTGACGTGTGCAGAAATTTTAAGCAGGTGTTTCAACTTGGTTCCTCTTTTTCCTCTTTCTTCCTCATTCCAGTTTTTTTATAAAATCGTTTCAGTAGCAAGAAGTCTATTTTGAGCTCATGGGCACATATGGAATGTTAGGTACAGTTACAATAAGGATGCTGTGGAGAATTCTGTATTCACAAATGAAATTGTTAACTAGTGAAATGGCTCCCCACCATTTCTTCCTGTTCCCCCCCCCCAATACCATGTGTTCTTCCTTTTTATTGTTGAGGTACAGATGTTTTTTCCAAACAATATTAGGCTGCAGACATATTCCAGAGGTGGGTTTCAGCAGGTTCTGACCAGTTCTGGAGAACTGGTAGCATAAATTTTGGGTAGTTCGGAGAACTGGTAGTAAAAATTCTGACTGGCCCTGCCCCCATCTATTCTCTGCCTCCCAAGTCCCAGCTGTTTGGGAGGAAATGGGGATTTTGCAGTAACCTCCCCCTGGATTGGGGAGGGAATGGAGATTTTACAGTATCTTTTCCCTGCCATGCCCACCAAGCCACACCCACAGAACTGGTAGTAAAAAATTTTGAAACCTACCACTGACACATTCCCCATTTTTCTAATGGAACCTAAATAGCTATGGCCTACATTGAAAATAAAATGTTAAAGGCTGATGCTTTTTAACACAATAGCTTCATATTTGTTTGTTTGTTAAAAGAATGTTTAAAAATGACTAATATAGATAGAGAGACCTGCAAGCATTAAGGGAGGTTGCTATAAGTATCTTTATGCTTATGGGTATCATTCAACTTAGTTATCTAATTAGAATCATGCTATATGATAATATGACAATATTTTGAAGAATCTAATGAAAATATTTTTAAAACAAAAATCTCAATAAAAATAGATGTTGAGGGATTTATATATTTGACATCGTTTTTTAAAAAATATTCCAAGAGGTGAGATCTAATTTATTTATGATTAAAACAATGTATATTATTCAAAGTGTTACATTTTAGAGTACCTATTCATAGTCTATTTGTGTAAACTAGGCATACAGCAACCAGGATTTGTCTCATTTTAACTCCATTTTACCACAGGTGCTTCCAAACATGGTATAGTGGGAGGTGCAATGCAATTAACTTTCAGGAAGATGGGCTTTGACTATTATCCTTTCCATTGGGCAGGTATGTTGCAAAATTTGTGAGATATTGCATAAGCATTAGTATTCTATTACAGCAAGTGAAATGAGTGTGGCAGGAGGGAAAACGCAGGGGATTTTGTTAGCTTTTTTCTAAACTTGCTGCAATGGAGAAGAGCTGAACATATAGCCCATTCCTGAAGAAGCAGGAATAGAATGCACAGCTATCAATGACACTTTTCTTAAATTTAAATACAATCATATAATTGAAATGGGAGGAAAAATAGGGAATTATGTCATTCTTTATATTATTTTTTTTAAAGATTGTAGGGGCTTCATCACTGGAGGTTTTTATGAAAATATTGGACAGCCACCTATCTGAAATGGTATAGGGTCTCTTGCTTGAGCAAGGGGTTGGACTAGAAGACCTTCAAGGTCCCTTCTAGCTCTATTCTGATTAAAAGAGGACAGATAATATTTCCTTTAACAAAGAAGACCTCAAGGGAAGTCAACATTACTGAGCAAAACTATGAGTAACAAATATTTGTTCATTTATTGTGTACAAATTCCATTAGAGATAGGAATGGTTTTAAGAATGTGGTTTGGAGTCAAATGGCAACATTTGTTAAGCTACAATGGAAAACAGACTATTACGTCTTAATAAATTTTCAGATAGGAAAATTAAATGTACATTTAACAACAAGACCTTTTAACTTGGTTGATCAGAGAGGTCCAAATTAGAAGTGTGTCTTCAAAAACCAAATGAGCTGGCTGACAGAAGTATTCTCATTTTGTCAATTTAAACTCCCTATTTTTTTCAGGTGATAGCTGCAAACATTGGGTGCGATATTGCGATGCCATGGAGACCTGGGAACATTGGGCAAAAAAACTAATGAATGAATTCCAAAACAAGATGGGAAAATATAGTGAAGAAATAAATTCTGCCTTCTTTAAAACCGCAGAGAAGGAATCTCCCTTGAAAAAGAGACAAGGTAACTCAAGATTCCTTATCAAGGTTTTGCAGCTGCAGATGGCTGGGAGCAGCGTTCAGAGCAAACATACAAATTTATCAACAGCATGACTTTGTTAACCATTCAAAAGAGGTTCTTCAGATGTGCTCCTATATTTACCAAAGCATCTCTTTTGATTACTTGGCTCTTCTGTATTTGCTCACTCAAAACCTCATTTAACTTCTGAATAGTGAAGACAGGGCAGCTTTTACCATATAAATAAACTACTGTTGAAACATCCACATTGCATTATGCTACTTATGTGTCTCGTTAAAAAGTGAAATTTAGGAATAGGGATGGGGTACAACTTACGATGTGTTAAAAATAATGCATACACATCTGGATTCGGTGTAACTACTTAAAAGCACCATTGTCTCATGCGAAAAGTAGACTTCCTCTTATTTCAAACTGGAATGATGATGGTTCGAATAGAATTAGAATAGTAGAATAGAATAGAATAGAATAGAATAGAATAGAATAGAATAGAATAGAATAGAATTCTTTATTGGACACACAAGGAATTTGTCTTGGTGCATATGCTCTCGGTGTACATAAAAGAAAGATACATTCATCAAGAATCATAAGGTACAACACTTAATGATAGTCGTAGGGAAACAGTCAGTATAAATCTTAAGGATACCAGCAACAAGGTTACAGTCATAAAGTCATAAGTGGGAGGAGATGGGTGATAGGAACGATGAGAAAATTAATAATAATGCAGACTTAGTAACTAGTTTGACCGTGTTGTGGGAATTATTTGTTTAGCAGCTTACTTTAAGAGCTTATGAAAGCTAATCCCTGGAATCTATATCAGATATGTATATATTTTTATATAAATATGTGTTTTCCATTTGACAATTGTTTCATGAGAACAAATGCACCACTGTCTTCTGTATGTATTGAAGGTGGGAGGATAGTTCTGAAGTTTTGTTGCCTATAATCATTGTTGAGTCTTAATGATAACTTCTGCATATTAACATATTTTAAAATATCCTCATTCAAAAAGTCTTCTTCTGCTATTAGTCAAGGGAAGGACAATACCAAAGAGGCAGCTATGAAAATAACTTACAAATAAGGCAAGCTATAACTTCTGAGTCTCTGCTAATGACTGTTTTTTAAAGAAGAATTTTCAAGCACATAAAAGTTCTATCTATATTTGTTGCATTCAGTATTGTTGGTTTGGTACTTTTCATGCCAATAAAGAACCGAGGGTGAGAAAGGTAGAGAACAATACTTTTAAGTTTAAGGATTTATTTTAATGGCTGAAAGGAAGAATTTGTTCTGATTATTATGATGGTTTTGCTTTAAGATGCTGTTTCTAGTTCTCCAAAAAGCTCTACAGAGAAGGGGTTACATCAAACCAGCACACCACCTCATACCCTGCTAGGACTCCAATGGCCTGCATGGAATAGACTCCGATCCAGTTGCCTGGTTGTTCGAGTTGACGATCTGGATATTCATCAGGTAAAGTTCTAATATTTATATGGAAAAGTGAGCATCACACTGTTCTGCCCCAGCTCCGGATTTCCAAGGATATTGACAGACACCAACGGTCCTTATCAAATTTATTAAGTAGCAAGAATAAACAAGACCGGCAAAAGTTGGCAACCAGCCCAGAAAACAAGATATGATAAACCAAAATACTCTTATAATAATACGAGTTGTTTCCAGCAAGAACGCACTAGCTGTGTGCAACTTAAATAGGCTAAGGGAGTGGCCAATTATCCTCAAGCCCTACTCTCGAGTAGACCTCCTCCTCCTGATTAGCCACTCCTGCCTTTTGGCAGCCCTGCGTGCTTGAGCATTGAGGAGAGGCTCCTCCACTTCTCTCTCTCCACTTGAAGGAGCCTCTGGAGGTTCTGAAGGCCCTGGCTGAGTCTCTGTCTCTGGCACCACATCCTCTTCAGCCTCCTCGCTGTCCAACGCAAGCGCCGGCTGCGCAGGCTGCTGGTGCAACCCCACACCAGCCTCCTCGTCGTCGGGATCAGCCACAATCCACGCAGGCCACTGGCAGGCCACAACACACACGGATATGTTGCCTTGTCTAAGCGCTTGTTGCTATTGATAGTGCTCACTGGGCTTTTCTCCACACTGGGCATCTTCTTCCCTTCCAAGGAAGTTTTGACTATTTTGTGTAATATCCCCCTAATAATCATATCTAAGAGTAGATAATTATTTATCCCAGTGATCCTATCCATTATTTTGATATAGCTCCTGTCTTTTATGGTTTATATTCTTTTTTTAATCATTAATTAAAAAAAGAACTGTGTTAAAGCAAAACAGTTTGCCACCCAAAAAAAAAAGGAGGGGGAATAAGAGTCAGTTCAAATTTCTGTCTCACATTCTGTTTAGGTTTCCAGAAAACCAAACTGATTACTTATAACACAAGAATATACTATTTGAAAAGTACTGTGTAATAGCGCTTCAAACATTTCAATGACTGGTGCTTTTCTTCTTCTAAAATCTTTCCTTTTATGTCCTAGATTACATACACTTAAGTGTAAAAGTTCAAAGAGTATCACTGTCATAATTCATATGTATGTACCTACACATATACAATATTTCTGTTGCTTTCCAGGTTTCTACAGCTGGACAGCAGAGTAAGAAGCCTTCAACATTACTTTCATGTAGAAGGAAATTATTGAATCTTCCTGAACATACGTCAGCAATCCATATAGTTTTCACGGAGTACTATTTTCCAGACCACACTACTTTTCCAGGTGACGATCTCAGGAATCATATTCCTCTAATCTTTTACAAAAGTTGATAAAAGTGTCAACATTACTATTTCTTTCAGCTTAACGCATTTCCCTTTCATTTCCATCATGTTTCTCTTAATACAAAAAAAACTTGCAAAGATAGAATAGCAGTTGCACAGCCCTTTTATTTGAGCACTCTACCTTGAAGCATCTCATTCTTTCTACTTCTTCGTTACAGTTTAAAAGTATGCTCTATCTCCCTAGGGATTTGGAAATTTGCCCAAAGAAGGCCTGTAGGGGGCATGAGGCATCCTCTAGATGAGGGGTCCCCAATCCCCGGGCCACAGCCTACTATCGGGCTGTGGCCTGTTCAGAACTGGGCTGTGCGAGACATAGGCTGGCAAGCACATGTGCGCACAGCTCCACTCACATGAGCAGTGGGCTGATGCATACACTTGCCCACTGGCCCGTTGGTCGCGCAGCCCAATGGAAGTTCTCAACAGGTGTTGACTACAATCCTCTATCATACCCAGCTAACATGGTCAGTAGTTGATCTAAAGTGGTTCAGAATTGGTTGCAATTGAAGGCAAGAATCAGTGGAACTCTAACCTTTTTTTTTTTTCTCTTTTCCCCAGTCCCAAGTCCAAACTTGTACTTGCAGATGAATGGTTTGGTTTTCACTTTGGACACAAGGAGCATGCTTTGGGTGAATTTATTCTGCCTTGATCTCTATCGCAGTCTACAACAGTTTAAAGCTATATACAAGCTGGAGAGCTCTGGAAAAAGGGAGGAACACATCGATATTCGATTGGATGGCTTTATGTTAAAGGTTTGTTTATTTGCTTTTGCTTCTACTGTGTCTTAAATTAAGCAAAGAACTCTTGTAGTAAGGAGGATGAATGAGGGAGAATTTCTTTTAGTGGAACAAACTCTTTGCTCTTTCTTCCTGTGGAGTTAGTGAAACATTTGACAGCTTTCTTCAGAGTTATATTGCAGAAAATCATAAAAAGCTGCTAGCCTGACAGAAAGTGACTCATTGATAAATATTATTGATAATTAAGATTGATTGTTTGAATGAAATTTTGTCGTCAACTCGGGATGTCCTTTGTATCTCTGCACTCTCCTAAGTGTAGCGGGTATGCATGAGAAAGAGCAAGTCCATTTCAAATAAGAAAAGGCCAAGTAGGCTTCTTTGTTTTATCCACTGACAGCTTCTAGATCACTTGCAACTCCCTTTTTTTGGGTTCTGCATGGACTGATAGTACTTTAACTGGATCGTTTCATGCAGTCATTTTAATTGAGTATTATTGTTACTCATTTAGGGGTAAAGTGCCATCATTGTGTAACCCATCAAATAAAATCAAATAAAAGTTACTGTAATCAAAATTACTATCCCAGTTCTTTAAAGGAAAAAAAAATCAGAAGTCTGATAGCACCTCTGTAACTAACAATTTTTGTTAAAAGACATATGCTTTTTATGCAGCTCATAAAAGCTTATGTCTTTTAATAAATTTGTGAGTTGAAAAAGGTATTACTAGACTCCAAATATTTTGCTACCATAGACTAAGATGACTCCTGCTACAAGCTTTATGAAGTAAAATTCTCCTTGAATTTGTGCTTATGGTACAAGTTATTAAATAATAAAAAAAAGATTACTGGAGTCTTCTAACTGTGGTAAAACTGTTTAAACGGTACATTTATGTATTATATACTACAAAGGTCTTGTGGAATCATATGTTAAATTTGGGAAATTTCATTTTTTCCTTACTCAGCCATAACAGAGTTGTGTGACCTTATGTAGATCACAATCTGTCAGTTTCAGTTCCCTATTGCTAATATAAGTAACTGGCTATCAAGATAACACGTTAGTAGTGTGCTATAAGCATTTTTAAATATTCACTGTTTTACTTCTGTACTTTTACGGCTATATAGATCGTTCTTAATATTCCTTCTGCACCTCATACAGGTAAACATCCCAGTGGACAAAAAAGTAATTGATCACCAGGACCGTCCCCAGTGTCTCTCTATGTCCACATCAGAAGTGACAGCTACTAATACAAGGCATGGACCTCATTGCAGCTGTTTAGCCCTGCAGAACCTGTTCCGTAGATTTGCTGCTTCTGAATTCTTCCATTCTAGCTATACCAAATTCCCTAAATTTCAGGACAACTTTAGTCTCTTGCATACTCTCTTTCTACGTCACGCGTACCAGGTGGATACCAATGTCCAGCAGCACACAGATTTCTGCCACTTTCCTGGCAAATCTTCCGTTTTTGAAGATCTTTGGTCTGTTAATTTTACCCAGGTGTCCTTGGATTTTGAGGGGACCAAAAGTTCCAAAGGAGAGGCCCTTAACTTTATCTACCCTTTCCCACTCTGTGTGTGGGCTTGCCTCCCAAAGAAATGGGAACAAGCCCAGGCAGCAATGCTGAAAGTTTCATCTACCTCAAATGTTAGACTTAAATCTTCCACGACTTTTAGTAATCATACTGAGAACCAGGTCTTTTCCGGTGAGGAGCAATTCTGCCAAAGATCAAAGACTGAGCAGAATTTGAGAAGCATCTACCTTACCCCAGAGGCAAAGGAAGTCTTGGAAGAAAGTTGTACTGTTAATGATGAAGGAAATGATAATGATTTGGAAATATCTGCCGATATCCACGTTCTTCTGTATTCAAGTGCACATATGAAGGTGCAACTCAATCATTATCAGTATTTGATGCTACTTCGAATGAAAGAAGTACTACAGACTTTTCAAGAGCAATTTACCCTAGATACCCAGGAAATAACTGGGTCGCCTTTAGATTCCATAACCACTTGCATAGGCATCATGTTCAACAGTACTGAGGTAGCTTTGCTAATGCATCCTGTTCCTGGTTCTTCACTAGAACCAAGATCTGTAGATTCAGATTCTACCAGTCTAGTTGAATCTGAACTCTCAGCGTCAGAGAGTAGGGAAAGACTAATTGCTGAAAGCAAAGAGCTGAAGTCAGATGTTAGCTCCGAGAAGGAAAATAGTAGTCCCATCAAAATGTCAGAAGATACAGGAACTGAGAATACAGATAGGAATATGACTGCATCGCAAAATGGAATGCTGAAATCCCAAACTGATGGATCTTTGACAGAAGAAGAATTGCATAGTCAAGCCACTGGACAGAGGAGCCCTGTAGAAGAAGCACATGAAGCTGAAGAAATCCCTGAAGCAGAGAAACAGTATGAGCACGTCAACCTACCTAAGACTTCTGAAGTTCTTCCTTCCAGACCATCTTCCATTGTAGATCCTTTAGGTGGCATACATATCCCTCTTAATGGGCAAGAAGAGTTGATTCCATTGAGAAATATGGAGTTGGAGTTATCTAGTGCATTGCATATAACAAAGGATGCCACCAAGGAAGCCTTGCATGTTACTATGGACCTCACTAAAGAAGCCATGTCAATAACAAAAGATGCTTTCAGTTTGAGCAAGGAAAAAATGGCTTCCACTATGCAGAAAATGCTGTTCCACCCCCAAATCAAGTGAGTAATACTTTAAATTAACACTACAGTTAGGATAATAGTGATTATTACCGTCTTCTGTTCTGTCTTCATTTTTGTGTTTGGGCAAGTGTAATCCGAAGTTCATTTTTACTTTATCTTTTCCTTGCTATTTAAATATTTAATAGCCCTTTGATTATAGTTCTTTTTGATTACGCTTTTTCCATGAGTCTTGTCACAAAGGGAGCCAGCCTTTCACTTATTCCATGTGCTGGCTTTAGGATGAACTACTTTGCTGTGATATCAGTGAATCGTAGTTTTAAAATTTTAGAAACAAGCTGTGTACATTGTAGATTGTCTTTAGATAAATCTCCTGGTACTCTGTAAGCATTTTTACTATGCTAGTCTTTTTCCCTCCCTTGTAATTAATTTATTGTTGCCACCTTTCCTCTCTTAAGTTTTCGGACTTTACACTAATTTTTTCAGAGTTACAAATGGTATTATGGAAAGTGTCAGTTAAAACAATCTATTTAGTGATCTTTATATCTTTGTTATTTTTTCAACCCAATAGAGATAATTACTGCTGGCCATGTAACATTTGAGAGGGCAAAATGTCCCTTTCATTCCATACATGAAGCCACTGAAGTGGCTCATTGCTGTCTTCTAATTCATCTTTATATTTATTCTTGTGAGTGGGTGTGTGTAGTAAAATACTGCTTATAGGAAATAAGTATACGAGTCCAGTGAGACAAAATGTATCTCACTGGTGAAATCCAAATTTTTTTACTACTGGTTCTGTGGGCGTGGCTTGGTGGGCATGGTGTGGCTTGGTGGGCGTGGTGTGGCTTGGTGGGCGTGGCAGGGGAAGGATACTGCAAAATCCTCATTCCCTCCCCACTCCTGGGGGAAGGATATTGCAAAATCTCCATTTCCACCACACTCTGGGGCCAGCCAGAGTTGGTATTTGCCAGTTCTCCGAACTACTCAAAATTTCCGCTACCGGTTCTCCAGAACCTGCTGGATTTCACCCCTGATGTATCTGCTATTTCTCTCAGAGAAGTAGAAAGGAGGTAACTGTGATGTGTTTTTTTTCTTGCAGAATACAAAATTGTATGTGTAATATATACAGATGTGGCCAAAGGTATTGGTACCCCTCAACTTTTTCCAAGTACTGGTAGTTCTCGACTTACAACAGTTCATTCAGTGACTGTTCAAGGTTATAAGAGCACTGAAAAAAAGTGACTTATGACAGTTTTTCACACTTATGACCATTTCAGCATCCCCATGGTCACGTGATCAAAATTCAGACGCTTGGCAACAGGTTTGTGTTTATGACGGTTGCAGTGTGCCGGTGTCATGTGATCCCATTTTGCGACCTGACAAGCAAAAGTCAATGGCAAAGCCAGATTCACTTAACAACTGTGTTATTAACTTAACAACTGCAATGATTCACTTAACAGCTGTGGCAAGAAAAGTTGTAAAATGGAACAAAATTCACTTAACATATGGCTCACTTAGCAACAGAAATTTTGGGCTCAATTATGGTCATAAGTCAAGGACTATCTATAATTCCAATTCAAGAAATTGAAACTGACACAAGTAAACAGCATCCACTGTTCATTATTCCGTAGAGCAGACGCTTTGCTTCTGATGTGTGAAAGGGCATGGATATAATTACTGGTCCTCATAAACTAATATATATTTATAGCACACTTTTTTGAGGCAATAACTAAAGTCAAACTCTTTCTGGAGCCTTGAATAATACTTCTACACTTCTCAACTGGCAATTTGTTCCATTCCATTTCATTTGAGCAAAATTGTCCCAGTTATCTCATGTTTGATGGGTCCTTCTCCCAATTGGGATTTTCAGCTTTGTTCTATTGGATTCAGATCACTTTATCCTGCAAAGCATAAAAGGCGGTACCAGAGGAAGCAAAGCAACCCCATAACATTATGGAGCTTCATCCAAGATTCATTTCTAGATGTGGTGTTCTTTTCTTTAAAAGTATATTTTTTTCCCCCTGTGAACACACAACAAAACAGAACTGCTGGGACTTATCAAAAAGCTCTAATTTTGTTTCATCTGGCCAAAGGACATTCTCCCAGAACGGTGGCTTGTCAGTGTGCATTTTAGCAAATAGTCTGCTTGAGGGATTACTAAAATTTAATAGTGTCATTTAACTTCTAAGGGCTACCAATAATTATGTCTGTGCGATTTTTTTATTACAAGAACCAAAACCAAAGAACTATAGAATAAAGAATGGTAGATGCCATTTATTTCTGTCAAATTTAATCTACTTCATGACAAATTGGGACTCTCTAGAAAAAATGAAGGGACAGCAACACTTATGGTCACATCTGTAGGCTCTCATGATAACTATGTTCATTAACACCAACAAATTTTGATCTGTGATTGTCAGCAGAGATCTTTCACCAAAGCCTGAAGAGGCAGCAGTGACTCAAGTAGGAAGTAATAGTGAAAGTGTGCGTTTTTCCTCCATGAAGAAGACTGCTTCACAACATTCCTTTGATACCAATTCGTTAGATGGCAGTGGTCTTGAAGATAGACTGTCAGTAGATAGTGATGGCAGTGATGGCTTTGTTATGCTTATGGATTCAGGTAATAAGAGTTTATTTGGTTTTGGTCTTATTACAGATTAATAAAATGGAACTTAATGGAATTGTAAAGTAAAAACATTTGGTATTTTAGAGGATGACTTACAAAGTGGCTATCTTGGGAGAATTGCATACTCATAAAACAGCTGCTGTGGCAGATCATCACAAGCCAATCGTTTGCCAGAATGTTTAGTATCTATCATCCCAATGGAACCTCTGTTGGGCCCAAAGATATTCCCGTAAATAAATGTGCTATTACTTTTTCTTACAACATATCAACTTTCCCTTTCATTTTTTAATTCAAATAATATGTTTTTAAAAGGCTAGCTAGAGCAGAGCGTCTAGTGGGCATTGATCTACAGGTATATCAATCAAGAATAAGGAATTGGAGGGGAGCTACATGTTGCTGAGCTGTTACTCTTAGCAGTTACAAGGAGGTATGACAGTAGTAATGTTGGGAATTATATAATCTGGTCTGTTAAATGGCTATGTTTGAAAAAAATATCTAAAAGTGATATTATGGATAAAAGTGGGGACTTCTTAAACCAATTACTTCTTTAACCATTTTTTCTTATTTCCATTGAGGCAACACAAAATTCATCTACTGCATAGGTTATATAGTGGGTGACTCATCCTGGAGACGATGAATCAGATAAAATTTATCTAATATCCCTGGGAATTTTTCTATTGGGATGAAATATAAATAGACTTTATATTCCTCTGAAATTAGCAATGTAATAATATGTGTGAGTTGGTTTCCATTTCCTTATTGCCACATGGACACGTGCACTCTGCTATGAGGGTTTTATTATACCTGCCTTGAAGTACTGCTGGTGGAAGAGTAGTTTATCTAGCTTTAAAAATGCTTTTCGCAACTTGGAGAAAATTAGGTTTTGCAGATAACATGCTGATTCCCATGTTCCTTAATTTATTCACATTCAGTCATGTTGGGACAAGGGTTGACTTCGGTCTGAAACTCTACATCACTTATTCTTTAATAATTAATTGTTTGGCTTGATCATAGCCTATTGATATTAAAAATGGTAGAGAAAGAGTCCATATGAAGTCAATTTATACTCCACTGCCTGTTTCCAGGGAAAAGACAAATTATCTGTTAAAATTAAGGGGGTCAGTCCAATTGAAAAAAATTGTATTTTAAGCCAGTATATTATCGTCATCTTCCAGGCTCTGACCTGGATTAACGGCATTCCTGTCTCGAGTCTTAACTGGGCATTTGGAATTCCATTGGGAGCAGCTAAAATTGATCGCAAAAAAATTGTTTGCACAGTTTCCTTGTTGAGTGTTTTGATGGTGAGATTTTTTTTCTTGTCATAGATTTTGATGGTCATATAATTGCTGTTGATAACCTTACCAAAGTATCAGAAACCAAAAATCAAATACTGAGATGAAGAAACATGGGATTTATATTTAACACTTGGTGGCCTCTGAGCTTTATTTGCTTACAAACATTTCAGTACCCAACTAGATAACATCATGCCATTGATGATGTTACCTAGTTGGGGAATGAAATGTCTTGCAAACAAACAACTGAGCTCAGAGATCATCAGGGACTCCACAGTTCACCCTGAGCTGCATATATTCTCCTCTACTTTTTTTGTTCTCTTTAAGTCATTTCCCCCATTAAATAAAACTATTCTTAAATCAAGCAATATTCTTTCTGGATATTTTTGTTTAATATTGATGTCTAGCCTATAATCCTAAACTTCACAAATTGTTCCCTATTTAAAGTCTAACAAAGGCAAAGGCTGCTTAGCTTTCTAAATTTGTGAAAATTGGTTATGTGCTGCCGGTGTTGGCTGATCAATAAAGAGGGCAATAAATCACAAGTATACAGTATGTAGGGAAATAAAGTTCTTCAAAATGTCCTGAATATGACAATATTAGAAGAACCATTCACAATTTCTACCAAGATGCTGCGCTGGAATTGAATCCATCTTTTTTATTATTATATTCAAGTCTAAATGTTACTCATTTTTATGGAAAGTTATAGAAGAGACACAGTTTGATATAGTTGTTAAGGTGCTGGTCCAAAAAGCAGAAGACTGAGTCCTCGACCTCCTTTAAGCTTGAAAGCCAGTGAATTATGAGTGTGTGCATGTGTGTGTGTGTGTGTGTGTGTGTGTGAGAGAGAGAGAGAGAGAGATATGAAATAATAATGGTAACAATAATTCCCCAAAAATCTAGAACATCACCTGAACATCTTCGGCATTAACAAAATCAGTCATTTGCAAAAAGACAGTTTTACTTGGAACAGCTTGCAACTTGCAAAGAAACCTTTAACAACATTAAACAACAACATCTGTTTATTCAAATACCTTGGGAAGAATAAGTGGATAAAAAATGCCAAATCCAGTCTAAACATCTGGCTGACTGCAATTAACCGTAATAATAATAATACTATAGTATTCTTTATTTCAGGTTTAAAACTTTCCTTTTGGGGGGGCAAAAGAAGTCGGAATTTTAGATAACTCATGTTAGAATTAGTACTGAAGAACTGCAGCCTTTTTTCTCCCGAGAATTCTTGCAATCTTTTCTGTGCTAAAAAAATACTTAAAATGTTTTTTTTTTAAATTTCAGAGCCCAGTCTTGATCTTCTTACCTTAGGACAACTTCCCCAGATGCATAACGATAGAGTCATTAGACCAAGCTCAGTGGGAGATGAAGAAAGAGGATCTACTTGTGTTAACAGCTCAGCTTCTCTGAGTGGACAGGACCCTAATACTCAGTTGGTCAGATTCTTGTGATTTTTTTTTTTTGTCTTGTTATTTTACCAACAATTTTTCTGTGGCATTTGAGAGCAGCATCCATTTATTCTGGGCTTTCATTTTAGGTTTCTGTGCTGGTGTTAAAAACGAATGAATTGAATTGTGTAATAGAATCAAAGAGAGATGATATGACACTTGCTCTTCAAGTTATGGAACTAACTCCTGAACATCTGGGAAATATCAGCATGTGGCAGTACCTGCAGAATGCGCCCACAGGTATGTTAGCGGCCAGCAAAGTATTTAGCTGCAGTTTGGCAGCTTTGATGCAAATGTGTAAATCTGTGTAAATAAAAGCTTTCTCTGCTAGCACAGTTCTGTGTCTCAGTACATAAGTGATATTGAAATAATAATCCCTCTTTGCTTCCTCTCACCAACAATTGGGTACAAAAAGACAGCAGGTAATTTTTGAAATCAGACATGCTAAGAGTTAGTACCAGGTTCCTTCATTCTAAGTGTTATGAGCAGAGCTGAAGAAAATAGGAGGTAAAGCATTTGCTTGATACTGAGAGGTGCTATCAGATTGCTGCTTTTTTGCTACCATAGATTAAACCAGCTCTTCGCTTATCATGTCCTTAAGAGAGATGAAGCATAAAGAGCCAAATGTTCTTTAGCTTCAACCACTCTTCCTCTTTTCTAGCACATTATTATTATGCGGGAACAATCCCCCTTTAACTAACCCTGAATTGGAGAATCTTATTTTCTGTTCAGGGTCACTTTTCTTTAGAACTTTCTATAGCAGGACTGTCAAACTTGTGGCCCACAGGCCAGATGCTGGCCACCCCCTTTAGCGAAGGGGGGGGAAAGTCCCAATACGTCACATGATGCTGCTGTGACGACGTGAATTTGACACCCCTGTTCTATAGTGTGTAAGTGCTGGTATCAGATGTGGGTAGAGCTGAAATGTATAGCTAGTGCTGTCTGTGGCCCCAAAACTTTTGGTTGCAGTTTTCAGGGAACTCTTGGATATTGCTACCAAACTGCAGTTTTGAAGAATGACAGAATAAAAAATTATTAAATACATATATTAATTAATTTTATCCCAGTTTTGTTTTTATCCTTACCCTGTCTAACTTCTAGAGGTAAATTCTTAGCACCCAGTTCAAATTCCAGCTATGCCCTTAACCCTTTAAAATATTATTGTTAGAGTTGTGTGTTTTCATTCTCTTTTTTACACACCTTTCATTCCCTTTGCCATCCAGATCTCTATGTTTTATTTATAGTAATAGTAGTACGGTAATATAATTATTACTGAAAACTATCTGTTGGAATGATTTTATTCTTCAGGAGTTCCAAACACAGAGAGGTCTACAACTACTGAAACTATCCAAACCCAACCTGAGGTGTGCTTACGATATGAAATTGGACCAAGCGCTGCAGTGCACTCACCTCTGGCTGTCCAAAATGGGTTTTTTCATATGCTGATCCATAGCTATGAGACAGAACTTCTGACATCATCTCTTTCTAGCATTGGGCTCTTCCTTGAAGATGAAATCATTCCTGAAGTTATTCCCATGAAGATTGAGATTGTGAATACCAAGATTACCTTAAAGGTAAGTATGTACTCTTAGCATTAATAAAGGTTGCAAAATGTAGGAAACTCCAGTGGAAATCATTTCTGTTTCTACAGTATCCTGTGAGAGTTATTTATATAAAATTTAATTTCAATTAAACAAATGATTTACTCTCAAATAATTAAAATTTAAGACCCTCATATATTTGGTACTGAATGTCATTATTTATATTGAAAGTCATTTTGATAGCTCATATAAAGTAAGTAATTTTAAAGTAAATAAAATGTTCCTTGCTGAAGAAAAATGAACATGGTTTTTGCAAAGCTAGTCTCACTAACCTTTTAGAATATGGCGGATAACCCACAATGTACAGGTCCTATGTGACCTAGTGCTTTTGCGGAGGCCCCAGATCTCGTCATCTTCCCCTATATCAAGTTGTTATGCTCAGTCTTCATTGTGAGAACAAAGAATAGGGCTTATCCACTTAAACTGTCTTAAAAACAAAACCATGTAGTGAAGTATATATAAATAAATATGGGTAAGAATAAAGGGATAATTGTTATTGTGTGGAAAGGAAAGAATTAGGCTATCTGTTTTTAACAAATTAATAAAGGATTTGGAGTTACGGGTAAACCAATCTGATGGATAGTACCAAGTATTCAAAATACTAAAAAAAAACCACTACCACCCAAAGTACTCCAGAGAGATAATTAAAAGGACTGACAACAAAATAGCAAATACACAGAAACATTTGTGTAAAAAATCTGATGTTGGCATACACACTGGGAAGAGTATTGAAGGTAGTAATCACGAAAAAATGGATTCTGGAAAAATTTGAACCAAGTCAATAACTTTCCTAAACAGCAGGGGGATCCTAGTCTCGGGGTTGTTAAAGAAATAATATTAAGATTTTGTATTATCTTTATACAATATTTTCGTATAGCAATACTTTGAAAACAATCTATAGTTCTGCCCATTATATCTCAAGGAAAGAACTAGAAAAATCAGATATGGTATTGAGATTCAGATATTTAGGAGATGGAGTATTTTTCCTTTGATGAAAATTATAAACGGGGTAGTCCTCAATTAATGATGTTCTTTCAGTGACCATTCAAGCTTAAGGTGGCATTGAATGAATGGTATTCATGGCTGGTACTCAAAATTCTAGCAGTTCCAGCACCCCTGTGGTCATCCATATGATTGCAATCTGGGCACTTGGCAACTGGATCACACTTTGTGATGGTTGCAGCATCCTGCAATCTTGTGGTTGACATTTGCAATCTTCCCTGCTGGCTTCCCACAAGCAAAGAAAACAAGTAGGAACAGTAGCAGGTTGCTCAGGTAGGTCTCCCCCCACCTGCAGCACCCACCCTCAGCCCCACTATCCTCACACTACACCAGCCCTTCATGCACTGTGCCTTAGCCAACCCAAGCCCCACTGCATTTATGTCATGTCCCCGTGACCCTTCATGCATCTCGCAGCAACCACTTAGCTGCCCGCCAGCCTGCTTGGAAGCTGCCTGGGAATTACAAATTCCTACCGCTTCCACACTGATTTTCCTTGTTGGAAGCTGGCAGGTTGAAAGGAAGTCCTATCTTCCTTGCTTAATCCTTGCTTAATGATGGCAATGTGGAGTGCCAAGATTGCCATTTCTAGGTGATGTGGTCACATTGCACTTTATGACTGCATTGCTTAGTGGTGGAAATTCTGGTCCCATGTACCATCATTAACTGAGGACTATCTGAATTTGGTTTAGATTTAGAAGAAAAGAATACCAGAGATGGGAAGTTTATTTGTTTTATATTATATTATCATTTTCCTACTAGAAATCATCACAGAAAAAAAGCTAAAATGGTCTATCGTTGGCATATCCCCCCGGCAAGAATCGCAAGAATGTTCCCGGGAGTTTCTCCGGCAGTGTGGGAATGGTTGTGGGACGTACTACCGCCAATGGTGGACGTGCCCCAAAGCAGGCAAATATTGGTCCAAGGTTCGGAACTGGATGGTGGAAATTACAGGATATAATATAGAGCTGAAACCAGTGATTTTTTTATTAGGAATGAAAGCAGACAAAATAACTAAGGAAAAATGGTATTTGATCCTCCACATCACTACTGCAGCTAGGATACTATACGCGCAAGAATGGAAAAACGAATTAATACCCACAGAAAATAAATTGATTTGGAAAATTACAGAATGCGCAGAGGCAGACCGGTTAACGAAATTACTTAGGAAACAAAAAGATTCTGATTATTACAAATGTTGGAATTTATGGTATAATTGGGTGAAAGAAAAGAGAGGGAAATGAAATGGATAGGCGCAGATTTGTGTACGTTAGTTGCAACAACCTTGTATGTATATATGTAAAGTATTGTATTTTAAAAAATGAAAATAAACTTTATTTAAAAAAAAAAAGAAAAAAAGCTAATCTCCTACAGTCTAAAAAGAATAGAGTACGAATGGGAGAATGCAAATTCAGGCACAAACTCTTAAATTTAAATATTGTTTTTAAATAATCAACTGGACACAGTTTAAGTCAGGAAGAGAAAAGTCTTGATGGAGCTGGCCTTTCAGGTGGATTGATAAAATGATGCTTCTCTCCTTCTCCTTCTCCCTTTCTTATACTTAAATTAGGATGAATACATGCATTCAAATTCCTCCTGTCAAGATTGTTGCTTGGATTTTTTTTTGACTTCCGGTTTGGCGTCGCGGTGAGACAGTCGGGGAAATAGCGGGCACTGATGAGCGCCACAAAAACCCCGGCTGCCGAACCATCGCCGATGCGTCTTCGTACCGGAACCATCTTGCAGGGACAGGGGAAAAGAAGGGGTGCCTCAGATGACCAAGAGGAACAGGCAAGTTCCTCAGAGGTCAGAGGGAATCCTCTGTGAGTTGGCAGCGGGGGGAGGCAGCCATTGAGGCTGCCACGAAGCTGGGACAACCGGGTTAAGAGATGTGCAGAAGGAGAGTGGATTGAAACGGAGCATTTTGAAGCTGGGTTCAAAACCCAGGCTTGCAACAATGCTTGGAGCAATATTATTAACTATAAGACCCCTAGCCTTAAAACAGCAGCTGAACAACAAAGGCGCTATGGAAAGTTTAAACTGTAATTTTAAAGAGATAAAGACCTGACAAACAACTAACTCTAGAACAGAACTAATGGAATTAAATATCGAGACATGGTGAAAAGACTGGATATTTCAAAACTGGAATTGGATTTATAAAAGAAGAAGATTTGATACTTTTAAAATCGACGGAAGAAAAGTAAACAACTGGACAGTTATATAATTGTAATAAAATGGATACTTGCATGACTAATGGAAAATGTGGATTGTAGAGGGACACCTTCTGGTCTAAAAAGGAACATTCTAACTCATTTTTGTTATGGAAAATTTGGACTTTACAGACAACAGTCGTGGGATTTTGTGTAGGAGATTTTTATTTTCTCGTCTTCAGGCAGCTTGACTTTGATGAAAAGAAAAGGAAACTACAATGGAACTCCTATAATTTGAATAATAACAATTTATTGGCGAAGGAACAAAAGAAGGATTTAGTGCAGGCTTAAAAGAAGGAAATCTGATGCATTTTATCCAGATTAAAAATAAGAAAAAGATTTAATATGGAGGACAAAATTTGAAGACTTTGAAAATGGAAGGAAATATATATTAGCAGGCGAGAAAGTGAAGAAATGATAGACACGGCTGGAAAAAGAAAAAAGAAGAATTAAAACAATATGATTAAAAATGAAAAATGTATAGGTGGTGGTAATAATAAAAAGAAGCTTCTTATAAGTTAATTATGGATGTTTAAGATCGCAGACCCGCGATCCCCTTCCCGATTCCAAACATGGGGTGTGCAGAGACAAAAAAAAGTGTACCGTGTTTCAGGCGGCGGATCTGGCCAGGAGGAAAGAGAAGAGTCTGCTGAGAAGGAGGTCGGGGGCGCGCGGCTCTGCAATGTGCAGAAAAACACTTTTAGGCATCAGTGCTACAATCTCCTCCCTGAATCCAAAGCAATTCCCAGTTCCCCACTGCACATTGCAGGTGAACTGGCCGCCACCTGAAGCGCAACTCTTGAGGTTTGCATTTTGGAATCCGGGCAGCGATGGCTGGAAAGGAGGAACGTTTTCCTTTAGGAGCTCCCATTCAGCTTGGCTTGGCTCCTGGGTGCAGAGGGATTAGGCAGCGGCAGCGGCGGCTCCTCACATGGCTGGGGAGTGAAGTCAGCGCAGCCAGAGGGGTGACCAGCCGCAAATCGTGGCACCCGCCTTGTTCCCCAAAGCTGCTGGGCAGATTCCCCCCCCCACTGTCCCGAAGAGGGAGGGTTGTTCCTCAGGCTGTGCTCTGTCCCTCCCCCCAGAGCACTGGTAGGCAGAGGTAAAATACTTTTTTCCTTGTTTTCCTCCCCCAAAATTAAGGTGCGTCTTATACTCCGGTGCGTCTTATACACCGAAAAATATGGTAACTGAAATAAGCAATGTATAGATGGATGGAAACAACAAAGGATGCTGGGATTAATAGTAAAGCTAACCATGATTATGCTGTGATCAACAGCCAAAAAATAAAAAAGAATATGCTGTGTTTAACAGCCAAAAAAAATAAAAAAGCTATGCTGTGTTTAGCAGCCAAAAAATAAATATGACTATGCTATATTTAACAGCCAAAAACCAAAAATGATTATGCTGTGTTTAACAGCCAAAAACCAAAAATGATTATGTTGAGTAGGACAACAAAACAAAGAGGATTTTGCTGGAAGTAACAGCAAAAATGGAATGATTATGTTGAGTTTAACCAGAAAGATAAAGATAAAGATGTTAGGTTTAATAGTAAAAATAAAATGATTTTGCTGGGATTAACAGCCAAAAATAAAAATTATTATCCTGGGTAGGACAGCAAAAATAGGAATATGTTGAGAATAACTGCAAAAATGGAATGTATAAGTTTAATTTAACAATAGAAATAAAGATAATGATGATTCAACAGTAAAATAAAATGATTATGTTGGAGTTAACAGATAAGAAATAAAAATGATTATGTTGTAAAGTAATGAAGATGATTAAAATGGGAGTAATAGTTAAAATATTTTTAAAATGTTTATAATAATGGTAATGATTTATATTGTTAAAAGATATCCATCTAAGTAAAAAGGAAGAGAAAAATGGAATGACATTTGGTTAGGATCTAAGATTTAAGTAATGGGTTTTTGGGATAATGGCATAATTGATAGAATTTAGAGAAATAACTGTGTAAAATATTAAGTTGTGTTAATTGGAAGTTAAGAATTGTTAGTGATTTGTACTAATTTATGACCGGATCAATGCTTCATTTTGGAAAAGATGTGTTTTATGTTTGTGTTTTAAAAAATAATAATAAAAAAACTTTGTTCAAAAAAAAAAGATTGTTGTTTGGATTTTTTTTCAACTTCCTGACTTTATCCCTCACTCCAGAATAGTGGAATAGGCAGGTGGCCTCTATAGCAGAGTGCTTTTCTTGAAATGTAGTTTAGTTTATAATAAAAAAGTAATATGAATTTATACATCTGTTTTGGTATTTATCAGTGAAGACAATCTGAAATCCATTTTCAGTCAAGGTTTAGTGCTTCATTCTCCCCTCTCTTTTATGTTATTTTGTCTTTTAAGCTCATTGTAGAGATAATTGCATCCAGCCTGAAGCACTTGCCTCTGTTAGCAAAGCTCTAATTTCATTTTGTAAATTAGGAAAATGAATGCCTGAAATTGATCTGAGCAAACAGATGGTCCATAACACATTACAGATGTCTTTCCTTTGCCTCTGTATAGAAAGTTCCATGGATTTAAATGCTCTTTAGCTTATTCAAAAGGGATTATATTGGTTGCTATATCTTCTCCTTCATGTCCCTAGCATAGTGCAAGATCTGCTTTTTTCAGGTCGACCAAAGTATTGATCAATTGCTTATGACAGGAATTGACTGACTGGCTTGTTACCTGAGCCTAACATTGTGGGCTGAGACAGAGTGACCCAAAATCACCCAGCTAGCTTTCATGTCTAAGGTGGGACTAGAATTCACTCTTTCATTTTGTATCCTGGTGCCTTAACATCTAGGTCAAACTGGCTCTCTAGTGGTTGGTATGGCAGTGCTAAGTATTTTTGAAAAATATATCACACTAATCTTCACTATTCTAATTGCCCCAAAAGTGCTTTTTCCAAAAGGCAACTGGACTTTCTTGATGTTTTCTTTGAAAATGTTTTGCTTCTCATTCAAGAGGCTTCTTGAGTTCTAACTGATTGGTGGGGAATGGCAGGGTTAGTGAAGGAGAAACATAAGGACAGCGGAGAAACAAAAAAGTTTCCAGGTAGAAAAATAAATATAAAATCTTAGCATATCAGGGATTGACCAATTTAAGATTGTGTTAGCTTTCATGAATTACATGCTCATAGGAGTGACATTAGATATGACATCTGTGGAGAGACAAATGATAAAAGAAAAGGTACATCGGATTAGCTTGCTTAATATTCAGAGATAAATTCAGTCTGCAAACTATTAAAAAACAAAGACCAAAAAGGAAACAAACAGCCCTGACCAGATCCTCCATTATTATACACCAGGCAAACATATACTGGAGATAAGTGAAAACCAACACAATAGTAAGAACAACTAAAGATAACACAGTGCATCTAAGGAAGCCCTATCTAACAGGCATTCAATATTCCTGATCAAGGCAGATAGGACAAGCATCATAAAAAGTCAGGAAACTCCACTTTCTGATGTCAAAGCACTAATAGTATTGCCTAATTTGGTAGGGGAACTTTACTAATTGGTAAGATACTTGTAACCGGCATTTGCATAAGCAACCTTTCTCCCAATTCCTACCCTCCAAGCATCTGAAGTCAGTTGTAGTTCAATAACAATTTTTAATAACAATTGTTAGAAAAGGTGCTATCAAACTCCTTTTGACTGTTTATAAGAGAAGAAAACCAGGTCAGCGAACACCAAGATCCCAAAATTTCAATCTTGTGGTACATGTATTCTCCATTCTTGCTGCTGTGTATGTGGATCATCAGCCTTAAATCCCAGCCTTGCATTTCTTTCTTTTTTTACTCCCTGACATTTTTTCCCATTTTAACAAATGCAGCATATGAAAAGAGCCATCACTAATATTAATATCAGAATATTATCCTTAACGCAGGTAGTTCTTGATTTACAACAGTTCATTTAATGACCAGAGTTGCAACAGCACTGAAAAAAGTGACTTGACCATTTATCACACTTAACAACTGTTGCAGCATCCCCATGACCACAAAATTCAGGTGCTTGGCAACTGAGTCATATTTATGATATTTGCAATGTCCCGTGGTCATGTGATCACCTTTTATAACCTTCTGACAAGCAAAGTCAATGGGGAAGCCAGATTCACTTAATAATCATGTTACTAACTTAACAACCGCTGTGATTCACTTTACAACTGGGCGAAGAAAGGTTGTAAAAACTCACTTAACAAATGTCTCACTTAGCAACAGAAATTTTGGGCTCAATTGTGGTTGTAAGTCAAGTTAAATAATTAGAATGAAAATATTTTATAATAATATATTATTTTATAATAAAGGATAATTTTCTTTGTTTTTTTAAGGATGACAGTCCTCGAGTGTATCATACCACTCCTGGTCCTGTGCCTATAATTTTAGCGATGGACCACATTGTTCTTCATTGTAAAGATGATGGAATATTCTTTATAACAGGTCAGTATTCCAGTAACACTGACTTATATGAGGCTGCAGTTCATATAACTATACTGTATTTCCTAGAAATCTTTAATCCAGCTTTAGCAAATCTCGCACCCTGTTTATGTATTGGGAATGTGTTACATCTTGGAATTGCTGTTATTTAGATTGTAGTACATATAGAGCATGTCAGTTTGATGAAAGCCATTATAATCTGTCTCAGTTCCTCTTTGTTGTAACTGCTGCACTATAGTACATTGGACAAGTGGCTAATATAGGGAGGCAGTAATGCTCTTAAACTTTGTCATTCAGCAATCTGACTCCATTATATTTTCGGTAGTTGCTCAGTTCAAAAAAGTGGAGATGGTAAACTGGAAGAATTACTGTTGTGTAATTGCAGAGATACTGTTTTATACTTTACCCTCCAGCTGCAGAGAGAGAAGAATCTTCTACCCAGAAAACAGTCCAGAAAAATCTTAAACAGTGTATTCCAGTACAGAGAATCTCTATAGTTTCAGCGGGAAGTGATGATGAACCAGAGGTATGTCCTATTGTGCCTCTTAACCAAATAGCTTGCAATCACAAAAGAAAAGGAAAAAATATTTATTTTTTTCTGGGGGTATTTACTTCTTTGTAAATACCATAAATAGGGTGCTTCTGAAAACGCTCACTTCAGCTTCCCCCTTTCATTTTTTGGAAAAGGAAGAGCAAAAATATCTCTTTACTTAGACCTTTTGTTGTTGTTAGTTGTGACGTCGTGTCCAACCCATCGCAACCCCATGGACAACATTCCTCCAGACCTTCCTGTCCTCTACCATCCTCTGGAGTCCATTTAAGTCCATTTAAGTAACTGCGTCAGTGACTCCATCCAGCCACCTCGTTCTCTGTCGTCCCCTTCTTCTTTTGCCCTCAATCTTTTCCAGCATTAGGCTCTTCTCCAGTGAGTCCTTCCTTCTCATTAGGTGGCCAAAGTATTTGAGTTTCATCTTCAGGATCTGGCCTTCTAAACAGCAGTGATCCATGAAGGGGAAGATCTTTTAAAAGATTGTTATTAGAAACAGGATGTTGAAAAAAGATATTTAATAATTGGTTTTCATCAAAAGCTATGATATTGGGATATACATTAATTCAGATATTGCTGTAAAGTGCCCATGATTGGAATAAGGAATAGTGGCAAAAAAGAAAAACAATATGATATGGTATGGTATTATATTGATATGATGGTCTTCAGTAATACAGTTTATTAGTGTTTAAATAATAAGTCCCTACTACTATAAAGAGATCATATGCTAATTAGCATATCTGTAATTTCATTAAAATAAATCCCAACTCTAATTACATTGATCGACTGTAATGTAAAAAAATTTCTCTTAGAATTAGGGTCTGTCATTTGTTACTTCTTTTTCCTCTTTCAGAGAACTCCAGTTTATTTTCAGAAAAAAATAAATCATTCAGGCAGGAAAAGCAGCATTAATTGCATGTGTTAACACTATGAAACTTAGGCACTAAGTGGTATAAAAATTATGTTCTTTATTGTAAGACAATAAGCATGAATTCTGCTTTATTTTGTTCAGTGAGGCATGCTAATTCATGCTGGTTTATTGCTTTTGCTTGCCTCCCTCTAAATTTGCTGCTCTCTAGGTAAGCAAATACTGAATTGCTTTTCAGATTAATATTAACAGTTGGAAATCTGATAACATTCTCTTAATATTCCCTTATAAGAAGTGCTGAAATTAGTTACTGTATTAAATTCTTGGCTCCCAATAAATAACTAGATTTCTCAGTATGTGAGTAGTTTCCTGGAAAATTTATTCTAGTTATAATTTCATTTATTTATTATATTCATCCCTTGCTTTAACTCATAGACACAAATCGCTGCATACAGTGTTTCACTGACTAATATTTTTCATCTTCACAACAATCTTTTGAGGTATGTTAGGTTCAAATGTCATGAATGTCCCAAAATGATTAATGGCTAAATAAAATTTGAATTCAGGTCCAACACTCTTACCAGGCCAAGTTTACCCCACATTTTACAACCTTGTTTTGTATTTTGCAGTTGAACGCAGCATTAACTTTGGAGAAAGAGTTACAGGATACTCAGAGAGCTCTTGCAGAAGCCAATCAGGACAAATTACGTCTGCTGCAGGAAATCAAGAAATATGATCCTCTCTTCCAGCTTTGACAACAAAGACCTGAACAAGAGATGCTCAGAGCATTCAGAAATTACTACCAGCATTGAAAAGGTTTACTTGTTAAAAGCAAAGCAGTTAATTTGTTCATCTTCATTCAAGAGCTGCTACTTTGAAAACAGAAGCAGAGTGCCATTACAAGAGATGGAAGCGGATGTAGTAAGAAAGTACGTGGGAATAAGATGAACGGGAGACTGGATTTAGTAGCCCAGCTGTGTCTGGAAAACATAAAACTGTACTTAGCTAAAGTTGCACTATTGTCAGTTGAATAGTGAGAGAAGAAAATTATGATTACTTGAGTTATCATAAAGCAGTGCTGATAAACATCTTTCTTGCGATGACCGGTTTCTTATAGGTAGGTGTTGGGGACATGCTCACCCTACACCAAAGTGCCCAGAACAGAAAATACAAAATCCATAATCTTACTGCTCTTAGAGAAGAGTTGAGGGGGCCCACAGTTTCTCATGAAATTATATTTTCCCTAATCTCCTTTCTTTATAATACGGTAATCTATTAATGCCGTATTGATACATTAACCTTCCTTGTTCTTAAAGTCAACCTCCTCATTAAAATGGATTTACAGCCATTTTGGAGTATAATTAGATGAGAAAGTGCCTGACTAAACATTTTGACCTTATTAATGAAAATATAGGTAACTTTATTTTCCATAACTCTAAATAATAATGTTGGAGAGGCTTGGAAATGAGATCTGTCAAGTCACTTTAGGTCCATGATGGCAAACCTATTGCACAGCATGCGTGCGCCGGCCAGCTAATTTTCGGGCCTTCTGGGCCCACCGGAAGTCAGGAAATGGGTTGTTTCCGGCCTCTGGAGGGCCTCCGGGGAGTGGGGTGGGAAGGCTGTTTTCGCCCTTCCCAGGCTCCAAGAAAGCCTCTGGAGCCTGGGGAGGGTGAAAAAGGGCCTACCAGGCCCACTGGTAACCTTTTTGCCGTTGCGTGCCAAAAGTGGGGGTCGCACGGGGAGGTTGTGCGCACATGCATGGGATGTCAGGGCATGGGGGGCATTGAATTATGGGTGTGGGCATGTACCCACGTGACCCCCCCGCGCTACCCCCGCTTTTGGCATGCGATGGCAAAAAGGTTAGCCATCACTGCTTTAGGTCATATATTTAAGGAATTTGTTTGGTAAATAATGAATCAAAAACTTTTTCTGCAAAATGTGGAATGCTGCTAGAAATTGTTTTAGCTGCAGAATCGTTGATTTTTTAATTTTTTTTGTGCTATCACTTTTGTATGATACTTGGAATGAAAGAAAAACAGTTTGGCTCTAAAATATACAATAGCAGTGTTAGTTTCTAAAAGGAGAATGATATATCCAAAAAATGTTAGAAAAGTTATATATTGCTTCCCAAAATAGTTATGTACCTATAACTATGCCAAAATAGAACATAGAAACAAATAATTGCTAATAATTCGTCTATAATAGACCGTAACATTTTCAATTAAAGTTACCCATAGCAACCAACTGTAACAGAAAACTCTCATGGATTTTAATCTAGATTTGTATGACTTATTTTTAACCATTTAAGTTTTATTATAACCTGCTGTAGCTGCATATCAAATAGATAAGTGGCAGAATCTGAAGTGAACAAATTCTGAAAGCATATCAAAGGCAAAGATTCCTTTGTTTTGAGTTCAACTCCTGGTGATTATTTGGGCAGGTAAAATTCAAAATCTGAATTTATCCTTGTGAAAGAATTAGGCCTAGGCCAAGTTCTAGCAGCATTTCTCACTAAAATGTAGTTTTAACTTTAAGTTTGATTTTCTTACATAGAAAAGAGTGATTTTAAAAATATTACACTGAGTCTTATAAATAGATATATTCAAAGGTTTTTTTTAGATCAAGGCATGAAGGATAATAGAAATTAATTAGTATGAGTTGGTAATATCAAATTGAACAAAGTTTATACTGCTGTACACATATGAATCCAAGAATGGGAATGTGCTATAGGCATTTTAAAAGCTGCAACCTACACAAAAACCAATGGCAACTCTAATGGGCTGTATGAATAGAATTAGAATAGAATGGACTACTGACCTTAGAACTTTTACTAAGCCAGCTCAAAATTCACAAAAATATGTGCAAGCTTTTAAGTTGTCCAGAATACTTAATTGACTAACTAATAACAAAATAAGAGAGGGAGAGCAAGAAAACAGACTGACTTATTTTGAAGCTCTGGTGTCTGTACGCAGTTAAATCTTGAAACATAATATAGCAAGGGATTGTGAATTTTTATAGGATTTTTTTCAAGCAACATCTTATCAAAACAATATACCATAATGGGTCAGAGTGCAGTTATTATATAATGTCCTTTATAGATGGCATTTTCTGTTTTTTAAAAAAATATAACATGGTGAGGATAACGAGCTTCAGTAAACAGCTGTTTGCCTGATATTATCCAATTGGTTTATAATAAAATGCTAAATTTAGTTTATGCACTACAAGCTAATCTTTGTCTAGTAGCTAGTTCTTAGTTGAAGCACCCACCTGTTAGAGTTATGTTTTTGTCGAATTTCTGCTTTTCTGCCTTGATTGCGATACAGCAGTCATGATCTCATCTTCACCATGTGAATTATAAAGAACGTTTTTAAAAAAAAGCTGCTGCTTCAAATAATTTGTTAGCTTTTGGGGTTATTTGTAGAATTGCTGAAGTCTAGGAAGTTTTGCAGCTGTGCTGTGCTTCTGTCAGTTTCTTTAATTTAATGGCAATGATTTTTGCTTATAAGATTGCATGTATTCTGAATTTTGCCTTTTTGCTATGTAAGAAACAGTTGTTGCTTCTACACTTTTCCTAAGTTATATCTGTTACAATATTCTAAACAAACCCAGGCTATGCACTGGAGTAAACATTATTCTGTCTCTCCATATTGGATAATGCCCTAATGGGACAGGCCTTCTTTAATATACTTGCAAAAGCACTCTTTATCCAAAGAGTAGTGTGCTTTTGCAGATGTATATGCTTATTTTTTCTGATGAATAGAAGTCTATGACTATATGAAACTGCTGACACGACACACCAAAATAACACATTAAGTTTAACTATGTGTTTTCTGTCAACTTTGACAGGAAGGTTGTTAGTGAACGGTGCTATGTGAAGACATTTTTTTCTCGTAATCTAATTGTTGAATAATTGCCCAAATATGTTGATTTATTTAAACAACTATATGTGCACCTAATTCTTTTTTGAGTTAAAAATGAGGCAAGTATGAATGTTTATATTTGGTGCAATACACATTCTGTTCACTTAAAGTAACCTTTTCATTTAGAAATGCAGCAGGATACAAAAATTAGTGTATTTTATAATACCATATATAGTCTTTTGCATTTTTGACTAAAATAATTTTATCATGTCTTCCAATATAAATTTGGTTTAAAATAAGGCAAAATGTAGAAACAGTATACTGTGGCAAATAATTTGGTGTAGTATGCTTGTTTCAGTTAGTAGAAACTACAGCTTATTAGCCTGTTATGGCATGAATGCCTCAGATGCTTCCGCTACACTGAGAACAATTATTTATCTAAACATAACATGAGTATTAAGAGGAAAACCACTGAAGCTGATATTTGACTACAAAAGTATTTTAGCGTGGTTTCGTTTTTGAAAATGTTTTCCTTTCTTCAGTGCTGTATTTATATGTAAATGTGAAGAACAAAACTCTTTATATGATGTCATATCAAAATTTTAATTTTAAAGCTCTAAGTCTGTATAACTGCTTCTGTAATTTCAAACAGGAGAGTACATGGGAATAGACAATATGTGGTACAGGTCTGACTTGAAATCTAAGCCTTTGATATATTGGATCTCTTTCTCACACAATATAGTTTCCTCTTGACTATACTGGTTCTATGAACCACTTTTAAACATTATGTATTAAAATGCTTAACTTCTATTTCCACTTATTTATTTCTCAGGCTTAGGTTTCTAAGATTTTATTTATATTAATTTATTTGTATTGATAATTGCAATAATATACATTGTGAACATTTCTGAACTTGTCACAAACACTTAAGGGCCTTATTAAAATGGCAAGTTTTAAAAGTTTAAGATTAGCTTTATGATGCACAACCATGGTTTTTGGTAATTCTTTACAAGTATAGGGCACATGTTTCCTTGACCTTGCTATATTCTCTCAAATTCTCTTATTTGTTTAAATTGAGAGATCAATGCAAATTTAAACATTAGGATTAAGAAGAAAAATAACTATAATTATTGTGCTGGATATAGTTGTCAACAGACGTAATGATACCTGCAATACTAATAGTCCTCAGGTAACGACCCTTATTGGGACTGGAATTTCTTTTGCTATGCAAAGAAGTAATTAAGCAAAGCATCATGTGATGGTGCTGCTTAACAGCAGTCCTGGAAGTGGTTAAGCAAAGGTATGTGACTATGACTTGTGTCCTCCTGCCAGCTTCTCCATTGATTTTGCTTTTCAGAAGTGAGATGGGAAGGTCGCAAATAGTGATCACATCTCGACAAGCTCCTACCATGATCCATTCCCAGCTTGGTCCCTGCCAGCCCCAAGCCTTGATTCTTCAAAAGCCACTTTCAGGGGATCACTCAGCCAGAAGCCAGTTGTCCTGTTCAAGCTCCTCCTACCTGCCTCTCTCTTCCCCTTCTCTGCCTCACCTTGCAGAGCATAGTTGAGATGAAGGTGATGTTATATTCTGCCACCCTTTGTTACCCATCATCTTCCTCTCCTCTCCCCTGGGCTGGCTGGCTTCAAGCCTATAGCACCAGAGATGGGGTAGCAGCAAAGGGCAATGGCAGAATCAGCAGCATCTTTATCTTGGCCATGTAGTGCAGGGTAAGCAAAAGGGCAGAGTTGAGCCCAGTGCTCTCTGAGCCCGTGCAGTGGGGCTTGAGGCCAGCAAGCCCAGGGGAGGGGAGCAAACAAGACCCAGATCAGCTGGGGGTGGGGACAGTGGAATATAGTGAAGTCTTCATCTTGGGCATGGTGTGTAAGGCAGCCGAAAGGAAAGAGATGGGTGGGGGGAGATAGGCAAGTGAGGAGAACTGAAGCAGAGGCTGTTCACACAAGGCAAGAGAAGGTGACCTTGGGAAGCGATGATGGTTATAAATGTGAGCTGGTCACCAAGCATCCAAATTTTGATTCCATGACGATAGGGACACTGTGAAGGTCATAAATGCAATGCTGGTTGTAAGTTCATTTTTTCAGCAGTGTAGTAAATTCAAATAGTTACCGAATGGCCATTATCCAAGGACTACCCATAACACGTTTTTAAAACTTTTTATTTCCTTTTAAAAGAAACCATGTTTCAGAAGTTCCCTGTAATCTTATTACATCAATATTTCTTATTTTGCCTACTTAAGAAAATGTTTTATATCTAGCACAATATACCTGCAATATAGTCTTATCATTACCCACTCAGAATTATTGCACAAGGAACACCTTAATTTTGTAGAACTTGACGGTTTTAAGTAAGCTGAACATACTCTCCGAAGTCTTTTTCATTTCAATGAAAACATCTCCAGTCCATTTAAGATACTTTTTTTCGCTTCCTCTTCAGTGATAAAGAATTTTTTTATATTTGGAATTTGGAATCTGTCCTCGTGATTTCAGTCGTCTGACTGCTTCACGCAAATGCTTGGGTTGCAGAGGTGGCGATTCTCCCCACTTTTCACATACATCTAACGCTGTGCAAGACAAAAGTAAATCTGTTATGCTAGCTGCCAGTCACTGGATTAGAGCTGTGTAGATGTGATAGCAAAATCCATATTTCTACATGTATTTTAGCAAAAGCAGTTACCGCGCATCTACAGAATAATTACTTTTTCCATACCCTGCTTATTTTGTGCAGTTCAGTGCAGTGTACATAATGCTTCTGCCTTCTGTTTGCCTCACAACAACTAACCTAGGACAGGGGTTAGGCTATGAAAAAGTGACTAACCCATTCAGTCAATTTAATGCCCAAGGGAGGATTAGAACTGTTTCTAGTCAAAAGCACTTTAAACACTGCACCGGCCTCTTAATGTTCCAAACTCTTAATAGAAAGCCTGTGAAAATTAACAAAATTAGTTGTTTCTGCTGCACAATATACTCCATATTTACACACACCCTTTGGTAAAATAGTAAAGGAAATTTTTTCTGTTCGTAAGCAATGGGTGGAAAATAAGTGAAAGCATTTGTAGGTATATTGTATTACTGTTATTACATAAGAAAAATTATCTGAACACCAATTTTATTCATTTACACTTAAGTTTCCCCTTTGCCAACTAAAAAAACCAAGCAAATATACAGCTGATATTTGTTTGCCTTGATTTAACAATTATGTTTCTCTTAAAAATACTGACCTGTTATGTATTAGTAGCAATATACATACTAGGGAATATTTAGGAGTAAAATGCTGCGTAAAATAGCAATAGGCAAAACTTGATGTTCTGGTTTTCTGACATCGATATAGCTATAACACAACATCTGGAAGACATTTTTACCACACAACTATTTACAAGATGGATTACTAAAAGCTAAATAAAATATATACATGAAAGAATAGCTAGATTGCAGTAATTACCAAGGTATGTCTTCAGTTAATGGAAGCTAAAACAATTAAGAACTAGATTATTCTTATACTTACCCTCTTCAACTACTTCTCCAACGAAGACTTTAGAAATTCCTGACATGGCAATAACAACGTTCTGAGACACAGAGGTTCCAGTAATTGACTGGATCAGCTGAAAAATGAGGAAGCAATTCCAGAGAATCCAATTTTTTTTTAGATATTTCTTTTACTTCCAATCCTGAACACTACTGTGTATAATAGGGTGTAACTCATTTCCCCTATCATCCAGAAGCCACAGGTAACAGCCCATGGATAGCAAAATCGCTGGAAAGGATAACACCTTTTAATGTTTTCTGAGTTTGAGAGTGAGAATGGGAACAGAAAGCTTTTTAAAGCAAACCTGCTCCTACTTAAGTCCTTAAAATCCATTAACTCCCCCACAGCCCAACTCTGAACATTGAAATTGATGGCTTTAAGGACAGAAATGGAAGAAACTATCTCCAGTTCCCACTTTAATTTTTAAAAGGAAAGTCCAGCATTTCACATTGAAAAGTGAAAAAAGGCAACTATTTTCAACAGCTCAAACTTAAGGTGCTGGAAGGTTGCAGAGGTAATTCCAGGGACACATGTGAGTTTCCCACCTCAGTGTCAGCACAAAATTTTATGGTAAATTGATAGTGAGACAAGTTACTCATGCACAATAATCAATAGACATCAACAAGTCTGTGAGGGAAATGGGTGGTTTCTAAATGTGATAAATAACAGGGGTCTCTGGGGCTCTTTGAGCTTGGTTGTTATAAATAACCAAACAAATAAATAAATATACATGCAATAAATCAATCTTACCCGTTTAATAGCAGCCTTAGGGAAAGCTGATCGTCGATACATCTCATATCGATTTAGCTGCTCTTCAGAAAAAGAGGAAACCAGAATTCTGCAGCAAACAATAATTACAGCACTTATTTAAAATTACAGAGTAAGAAAGTTAGTGAGATTGTATAACATTCTATCAATAAACACCGAGTTAAATCTAGCATTTTTATTTTAGTAGTGGCATTTCCTGAATTTTGCTCTAAACATTCTAGTTAAAGGAGGGTGACTTTGCCTATTTTTTCTAGCAGCTTTTTTCAGTACAACTTCCCACAATGTCTAGAAGGTCCCATTCACAGGTAACCATTGGGTTTCAGGGAAAAATAGAAAGAAAAAAAAAAGCAAAAATATCTCCTATTGCAGTCCTCCTTAAACATGCTTCTCACTTTTAAAAATTATGGACAACCCCCAAAGAGCCTTCTTTTGTACATGTTGTATTTATTTTTACCATATTAAAAATAAAAAATGATGCATCTATAGAATAATTACTGCAACATATTATAAATAATAATGATAGTCCTTCAATTATAACTCCAATTGGAACTGGAGTTTCCCAACTAAGTGATGAAGTTGTAAAGCAATTCACTCTGTAAAATCTTTTCTTTTTGGAAAGGAAAAACACACATATGCAGATTAATAAAAATAGTTCAAAGGGGAAAGTACATCCTAATGCCAGGTCATAATTACTATAAGTCATTGACCCCCCCCCCCCCAAAAAAAACAACTTTGCGCTGATAGTTCAGTGGAAGAATTCTTGCCTGCCATGTGGGAGGCCTGGGTTTGAATCCCAGCCAATGTGGGGAATATCCCTTTTTTGAGAGAGCCAGTTTAGTGTAGTAGTTAGGGATCTGGCTAGGAATGAGAGACTATGAATTATAGTCCCACCTTAGGCACAAAGGTAGCTGAATAACCTTGGGCTAGTCACTCTCTCAGCTCTAGGAAGAGGCAATGGCACACCACTTCTGAAAAGCTTTGCAAGAAAACTGAAGGGACTTGTCTAGGTTATTATTATTATTAGTGTATGGTGGTGTTACATTAGTCAGGAGACCACAATGCTACTGCAGAGTAGTAGATTGGCTGCCAATTTCCCAGCCCTGTTGTAGGATATGCTCACACACTTCCCAAGCTGTACCACAAGAGGGCGAGCTGGCTTTGCACCAGAAAGAAAGACAGGCAGCTCTTCCTGCAGTATCATCCTAGGCCCTCTCCCTTCCTTGGAGCTGCCTTGTAAATGGACGCTGCAACCGGGAAGATTCAGAGCCAGCAGGAATCTGACTGCCTGCACAAAGCAGCAACTCATCTCCCCACCAATGTGGTACCTATCTATCTACTCACATAGAACATGCTTTTGAACTGTTAGTGGACAGAAGATGAGACAAGGGATAGGAGCTCACACTGACATAAGAATGCTAGCACTCGAACTGCTAGAGCAGAGACCATCTCCAGCCTCATTAAGTCAATGAGCACTAAGGCTCATATTTATCTAGGACAGGTGAGCCCTGAGAATCATACAAAATTGAACGGAAGAAAAAAAAATGACAAAATGCTTGTTCCCCTAAACAGTTTCCATAAAGTATCCATTAGATGACAGTCTTAATTTCTGGAATTCCCTGACCAAAAAAAGAACAACAACCCATTTTTTGCCTTCCTAAAGAGAAAACAGAAAGATACACCTTTTATCTACTCATTTAGCATTAACAAAAGCATATAGATGGAGAAATACTCACTGCATTTTTTGAATCTCATCTTCATCAACTTTATTTTTTTTCTCTTTTTTCTCCTTTATCTCTATTTTTATTTTCTTGGCTGCAATAGATTGTGATGTAGAGTCCTCTAGCTCTCCAGGGATCAATTCACATGCTTCTTTGCATTTAATCTAGGCAGAAAATTGATTATAACTCAATTATGTTTACAAAAAAACCAAGCCTTTTTCTGAGTCAAGCTCAACTCCTAGTTAATTGATGTTCATACAGCAAAGCAAAAGTGGCTTGACACCACTTCCTGGATGCTTTCAAACTTTTTTAATTTTAAGCATCCAATAGTTGTACTTATAAAGTATAGCTGTTGAACACCTAGTTTTTGTAATCTTTCCATAATAATACTACCTGCATGATACATAACATAAAGGTCTGCAATTTGATAAAGCAAGCTTTTGAATATTTAACTATTATTCCTAGCCTCTTCAATTATGATAATTCATATATTTGTACACTATGCTTATCAGTTATAATTCAAACAATGAGGGGGAGTGAAAAATCTGATGAAAATAAATTGGTAATCATAGTAAGAGAAGTATAGTGGCTAAACAAATAAAATGAATACTCAGTTATCATTTTTCATGTTTTACTCTCTTCCTATATATGTTACTGAAAAATCTTGAGCTGATCAGTCTTTTACAATGTCATGCTTTGCATTACCTTTTTTAAAGTATATCTTGTTAAACATAGGTTAAAAGAAAATGAGCAACTCAAAAAACACCTAGCAACACTTAATATTTGGGCATGCAAAAAAATGCTCTAACGTTTTGTATTCATTATTTACCACAAGAATCCAAATAAGGAAATGAGTTTCCAGGATCTAAAAAATTATGACTGTGTAGAGATACACACAATAGTCTAAAAGGTAAACAAAATTCACCAGAAAACAGTACCTATCTACTATCTATATATCACTAAAAGTCCAATTCCTGTAACCTTTAACTGGGTGAAACAGTGGGCAACAATTTTCGAACCAAAGTAAATTACTTTGGGCTAGCTTACAGAATGTGCCCAAAACCTAGAAATGGTGCATCATAGGGCAACCGTTTTTGAACCAAGCTATCTTAAATGGTCTAACTTACAGAATGCGTACAAAATCTGGGGCCTGTAACTCAGTGGAATTGAAATGTGGCAAATTGTATAACATATTTTACGATATAAAAATGATCATAGACATCTGAAAACATTTACTGTGCTGATGCTTGACTGCACAGTTCAGTATGGGCTATTTTCAAGACAGATCTTTCTGTCAACGTATGTCAGTGTATACACTTTCCAGTGAAGGCAGTACATTAGAAGCTCCGTCACTGCGAAGGAAAAACGTCTAAAAGGGATCACGAGCTTCTAGTTCTAGTTAAATACGGAACTCCAAGGAAATAGCGGGCGAGGAAAATCCCCGTTACTTCGGGGCAGCAATCACTCTGATGGCTCAGCATGGAAAGCGAAGCCCCGTTTCTGCAAATTGCGTTGCCAGCTTTTCCCTCCTCACCTCTACAATCTGTACTTCCTCTTTGATGTCGGCCGGTTCTTTCTCCTGGCGTTCCGCCACTTCTATAGCAACGACGGAAGACTCAACGGAAGAGGGGGAAGACACAACGGGCAGAAGACCATCCTCTTTACCAGACTCCACAGCCTCAGCCATACTAAGCAAGAGGATTGATGCGTGTCGCGCCTTGATGACGTATTAGGGCGGCGCCGGACACCTTGTTTCCATGAGAACGCCCCCAATAGGAGAAACTAGTAATGCGGACTTTTGTCGCTGCTGTTGGAGAACCAAGCCTTGCGGGTGAGGTTGAATTCGCGGATCTCAGGCGACCTCGTAGCGGTCTAACCGACAAAACAATGCAAAATTGAGTCCGCCTTTTGTTGCTTTAGTATCCAGCAGCAATATATACCAAACAAAACGAAAGGTAAACTAGGGCAAGGAATTCCAAAATTACGAATGCAAACTATGCGTGTAAATTGGAATAAAGATCGATGCAATGCTCAGTACTCTATTCACACATCCCACTAAGCAGCGATGCGGTAACATGGTGGGATTTGGGGGTAGCGTTTATATGAACCCTACCAAAGCTGATTTATAGAGTTTAAAAAAATGATAATCAATAGGTAAATGTTTTGGGTAAACCCGGATAATAAAGCATTCCCCTGAACCCATGTTTTCCTATTTCTTCAAAAAGCTATGCACAAAAGGTAAACTAAAGCATGTGACTTTTTTCATGGCTTTAAGGTAAATTGAAATATCAAGAAAATTATGAACAAAAAGAATTATGTACTGCGACCCTTCTTATGTTCATGGCTGCATTAATTGTTCCAGTACTCTCAGGTCATTGCTTCAAAACAAACGAGGGAAATTAAAAATAAGAAGTTCTTAGTAAGAACTAAGAAAGTCAACGTAATAATGTCTTTTTACAAATCCCATATTTCCAATTTCGAAATGAAAAAAATCTGCATTTTAAAAAAGGCATCTGCCCATGTTTGAATATATTACTTGGGGGTTCCTTAATCTTCTCATCCTAGATTGCTTCCCTTTTTTTAGCACAAGCTTTCCAAATATAAGACTTTAAAATAATATTCATTGAAGCAAATATAAGTTGCTTAAAGCTTTATTACTGTAGGGAGAATTTTTTTTTTCTTATCGATTCATACCATTCTGTGTCTGCACAACTCTGACAAACCACAATGCCTAAGCTAAAACTAAGCATGACACATTGGGATAAAACACACATCCTGCTTGTTCTGGGACAAAGATATCTAACTACAGAGGATATGTCCTCAAAATGTCAGCTCCATCTAACTGCTGACCCACTGCTGAAGCAGCCTGAAGTCAGGTTTACATATTCCAGTGTGAAAGTAAAGTATTTTCTTCTTATCTTGACAATCAAGACTGCCTGGAGGAGGAACTTTGGCTTGATATGGCCAGGTTCAGCTTCAACTTCACCTGTCAGCTGTGAAATCACTCCATCCTGTCTGGTTGCTAGGCACTGTGTCACCATTGTTATTTGGCTGTGGCTACAAAAAGATCAGACATCTTTGTGTCTGTAACTTACTTCTTATTCTTTTGCAGGATTTAGATACTACAATGCTGATCTCCGGGAAGACAGCTATCCTGCACTGCAACTTTATATTTCCACTATTAAGGAAAATAACCACAAAGGTCCAGAGAATTTGCATGGCACCCTCCCTCCCCGAATATGCATAAAGACTTAGTTTGATTGACAACAGAGTGTACAGGTAGTCCTCACAACCACAATTGAGTCCAACATTTATGTTGTTAAATGAGAAATTTGTTAAGTGAGTTTGTTCCATTTTACGATTTTTCTTGCCACATTTGTTACATCAATCAATGCAGTTCTTAAATTAGTAATACAGTTGTTAAGTGAATCTAGTTTCCCATTGACTTTGCTAATCAGAAGGTCGCAAAAGGAGATCAAATTACTCCGGGACGTGCAACCGTCATAAATGTGAATCAGTTGTCAAGCATCCGAATGTAAATCATGTGACTATGGGGATGTTGCAACAGTCATAAGTGTGAAAAATAGTCATGTCACTTTTTTCAATGCCGTTGTAACTTTGAACAGTCACTAAATGAACTGCTATAAGTCAAGAACTACCTGTACTGTCTTGAAACTTAGATTGAATAAATCAATCTCTTTTAGAAGAGAGTTCAATATTTCTACAACTTGAACATTTAAAAAAGGTGTAATATGTAGCTTTGCATGTCAACAACTTTGATATTCCCGTTGGTAAATAAAGCAAATGCTAGAACGTATTTCTAATCAACTATTCTGATCACTCACACAGCCTTATCATGGGGAGACTATTGCTATTGACATGGTAAACTGATCTTGAGTTTCTAAAACAGGACTAATCTAGTAAGTAAATGATTCTAAAAAAATAATTTCATAAATGGTGCTATTTAGAAGTTTTCCAAATTAATACAGATTAGGATTCTGATTTCAAGATACAGTAATATGGCTGAGCATTAGATAGCAACATCTATGAAAACTTTTCATAAAGTTAATACATACTTCAGTTATTTTTCACTGTGAGAGGCATATTACTTTCATGAAGTTGATAATCTTGTATTGAATTTTTTTAAAAAAAAATTATTGGCAGAATGCCCAGAATGCACTGCATCAATGCATTTTTTCCTGTGGTTGGGGACATTGAACATGACTGTAATTTCAGATGGAAAAAAACAGAAGTCTTTTACAGTATTGACTGATAGAGCTGTCTAGACAGCAGTAGCACATGGCTCTGTCTTAGGCATGCATTAAGGGCACATTCAGTCCCACATTCTGAAATGTGAGGAAAGCACTGCAAAGCTGCTGTGATAAAACCATTATGTCTTAGCTTATTATGTGAATCAACCCACTATGTTATGCAGTAATGGCTCGCTTTTGTATTAAGGATATGAATATGATTAGGTATTTTATGATGTTGAGTTTTGTTGCTAAATGGGAGGTGTTTTTGAGAGATGTTGCAGAGGTCTGAAATTTAATAACAAACTTCTCTTTTCCCAAGTTGCAATTATGTTTAAAGTAGTTTCCTCAGTTCAGATATGCTTCTTTAAAGCCTATTTGTAATGGAAGTGAATTCCAAATGTGCATTTTGAATAACAGCAGTTGGAAAGCAAGTTAAACCCAGGCAAAAACTGTTTTACATGCAATCAGTGTGGTGATTTTTTTTTAGTAAGTATTGATGACATGCAAACATTGTAAATAATTTACTGAGTCCCCATTTCCCAATAAACATGTCAGTTTGTCATACTTACCCAAATTAATCTGAATTAAATTAATCCAATATTCTGCATTCACATAAAACACTGAACCTTTAACCGTACTGACTGTGACTAGGTTGGATTTAACATATTTTGCATACATGGCAAATCTCTATTACTGATAAAAATAGCTGGGTAGGAATAAAGTTTTCAACAGATCTACCTGCTGTCTCCTTCCTTCCATCCATTTGTGACTAAAGCACTTTTAGTACAATATCTTCAAGCCTAATCTCAACTACCCATATTTGTTCTAATCAATATTAATATTCAATATTGAAAGGATTGGCTTTCAAATATTGATCTGAGTTTTCAGTAACACATGACATTTCTGGACTATTAATCTTAAATGGGCATTCTGACAGAGTCTGTTCCGCCTTTCACTCCATCCCACCGATTTTCCAATTTTTACACCACTTTTTTCATCTCCCATATTTGCTGATTGTACTCAGGACGATTTGATTGATTTGTTTTCGTTCCATATAATGAATTGCTACTAGAAATTGGATTTCAAAGAAATGAGTTTGAAAATAGCTAAACAATCTGGACTAGAGTAACTTCTGGCCATGAGATTACATTAAATGCTCCACCTTCTAATGGGACTCAGTGGGCATGAGCCTTTGTTTACCGCACTAAAAATATGTTGATAAATGTTCTGTGACTTACCTGACCTTGGTGAGCAAAGTCGAAAACTGTTGCTCGGTTGTTCTCAATATATCCAGACGCAGCGAAATATCTAGCGTGTGTATCGCGGCGCGTTTCTCTACAAACTTTGGATAGGTGAACTCAGTTACTTGAGAACAGTCATCAGCTAAACATGTTCACTGGAAATTCCCAGCTCCTTATTCTTAAAAGGACGAAGAGTTGGCTTTTTTGTTTCCTTTGAAAATGTTGTTCTTTTGTTGGGAACGACCTTTTGCGCTTATTCGCCTTTCCCCCCCTTAGAATGGCCAAAATGTCGCGAATGCTTACGGAACTGCAATCGCCGGCCGTCCCCTTTTACCGTGTTTTACCACATCTCCGCAAGCGCTACTCGCTGTTAAGAGACAGCCGCCAACGAGCGCGACCGACCTCTCTGCCTATCTCGGCTTCATTAGCCGGACCGGGGCTTGACGAGGCTCAGCCGGGAGGCGTGGCCTTTCTGGCCCCGCCCCGGAAGGACGCGCCGGCCGGGTTGAGGCAGCGGCGGTAGCCGAGGAAGACTAGTAAAGATCGGGGGTTGGTTTCCCGGCCCGCGTCGGGCCATGGGGAAAGAGCAAGAGCTGCTAGAGGCCGCCCGCACTGGGAACCTGCCCGCCGTGGAGAAGCTGCTTTCGGGCAAGCGGCTTAGCTCGGGCTTCGGCTCGGGGGGCGGCTCGGCGTCTTCGGGGGGCGGCGGCGGCGGCGGCGGCGGCGGGGGGCACCCGCTTTCCAGCCTTCTCAGGTAGGTGCCTGGGGTGTGGCTTGCGGAGCTCTTGCGAGTGGCCGGAGTGGCGCTGCCGAGGTTGGCTGCGGGAGCCCGTGTCAGGCAGCTGTTTGCCTTTTAGGAAGCTGGGGGTGTGTCCCGAAGACTTGAGAATGCCCGGCGGTGCAGTTGACCATAGGTAGAATCTCCGCCCCCAAAAGTCTCACGGGCGTCGCGCTGGATAGTGGCCGTTCGCGTGTTTAAGACTCAGCGTCGTGTTGGGATCTTTTTTGGGGGGCGGGGGGAAGCGGGGGAAGGTCTCAAACCAGCGCAAGGAGGAGAAGCGAACTGAAGCTGGTTTGGAGGTTCTGGAGAAAGCCCGGGCCGGTTCTCGGGTCTCCGGATTCCCTGAAGGAAAAGGGCTTTGACTCCGGCTTTCCTATTAAGGGGGGCAGAGCTTTTTGCCTTTACAGGACGATCTCTGTGAACGTTGGTTTGGGGAGACGCTTGTTAAAAGTGTTGAAACCTTGTAGGTTGAGACTGTTGTGTGTGATAAGGAGGGAGTCCTTTTGTTAATTAGTGAAGCCTCTTAGGCTGCTCCTGCCTTCTTTTGTATGTTTTTAATGAAACATCACAGACATTTTCGGTATGTAGTTGATCGTCTCAACCTTCAATTGAGGATCGGGTTTGGATTTGAGATAGGTTCTGTCACTGTCACCCTTGTGGCTTATTTTTTCTATTTGTGGATGAGTGTTTTTAGATGTCTGAGAAAAAGAATAGAAGATATGCAAATGTATGCAAAGAGAAGGAAGCATAGGAAATGTGAAGTTCACAGGTACAAAAAAGTAGAAACAAAATTGTACTAGAGTAGTTGTGTGCCACTGCCAAGGTTTCCAAATCTTTGTGGTGTTCCTCTGTTTTGTTTTGGTCCAAATCTTTGTAGTATTTTTTCCTTTCCTTTCTTTTCTTTTTTCATTACCCAAAGGATGGTTTTACTTAAAGAAAATAATTTTCTCTTATGCCTATTTCAAAAAACTGGCAAAGTTTCTCTTGATACATGCCAGGTATCCCTTGAAGAGTCTGTATACTTTTATGGGAAGACTTTGCTCTACATATGTTGAAGTGACTCAAAGGCTTTTCAGTAATGCAGTTTCATGTCTAATGACTTTTTTGGCTAATTAAAGCTGTTATCAAGTGTAAAACGAATCTGTGTGGTTCTTGATTTTTATTTTGTGTTTTATGCATAAACTCTAATATAAAGAATAGTTGCTAAAAATGCACAAGTACATATCTGGAGGCTTGGGGCCAGGCCATAATACAAATCACTTTTACCAGAGAGTAAAAAGATCAACTTAGACTATTTGCCTAAACTGTGTGTGAATCTGCGTGCTTCACACTATCTGCTTGTTATATATTGCTTACTAATTTTGTGATTGAATACAACATATTGCAACTTGTCTTTGCCTTCTGTAATTGTAAATTACAGTGCTTGGCAGTTGAATTACAAATATCACTTGAGTTCATACACTGCATTAAGCTACAATACAGGTTTTTTTGTTTTAGCATAATATATTTTATGATCCTAGCCATTCTGGAAATCATGGTTGATAGCAATATATTCAGAGACAACCATTTGTGGCTTATTATGTAAGGTACAGCTAAGTGCAGTATGTGTACTCTGTCACTGTGAGCTGTAAAAATATGTAACTATTCAGTCACAGTAGCAAATTGTGACACTAGTTACAGAGAAGCTGCTTCCTATACCAGTTGAAGTACAGTTAATTGTACATGTTGCCTGAACTTTATACAGTATGGATATTCCCCACAGGTGCCAGATTATTCCGTGCTTTAATATTTCTAAATCTTATTTCCTGAAATGACAGTGATCTGAAGGTCTTAATAGATGCTTCTCCACCTATGACTTTCCTAGGTTCCCAACACCCTTAAGCAGGTTTCCGATCATCCTATGGTAAAAGTTCCAGTCCTACAAACAATTAATGTGAGTAAACAATTGGACTCATTAGAAGAATATCTTTGCATTTGAAATTAAATGCATGTCTGTTGGAATTGGCTAGAGCCTGTGATATGGCATGTGGGCATATTCTGTTTGGAAGCATGGTTTGAATACTGTTTCTGGAATGTATGCTTTAGAAGGAATTAACATTTGTCATGTCTGAGAATTTGGCAGTAAATTATAACTTACTGAATTTCCTACCAAGCTTTGGTGAGTCTGTGGATTATTCTGTTATACAGAATACACAGTGGGGCTATTATAAATGTAGACCTGCTGGAAAGGCCAGATTGCTTTTAGGAAAATATTAAGTAGCATCCAGAATGTGTCTTGGTTCTTCAATAAGAGTTATTGCTAGAGGAAAGGAAAGATTTTTAATTTACAAATATGGCCAGTATATTTAACCATAGAAACACCGATCAGATTGAAGAAAGAATTTGTGGATGTTCTTTGTGTCCTTTATAATGATAAAGATGTTATCATTCTCAGATTTTATATGACTCATAATAATGACTTGAGCCATGATGGTGCAGTGGTTAGAATGCAGTATTGCAGGCTAATCCTGCTTACTACCGACTGCCATTTCGGCAGTTCAAGTCTCACCGGCTCAAGGTTGACTCAGCCTTTCATCCTTCCAAGGTCAGTAAAATGAGGACCCAGATTGTTGGGGGCAATATGCTAACTCTGTAAACCGCTTAGAGAGGGCTGTAAAGCAACTATGAAGCAGTATATAAGTCTAAGTGCTATTGCTATTGCTAAGAGGATTGCCAAGAAAGAAATATGAATCTTAACCCATTTGCTATAGTTGAGATAGGATTCCAGACACCAAGGCTTTGCATGGGAATGTATGACTGGCTTTTCCTTGCTAACACTAAGGTTGGACTGGAATGTTGAAAAAAACATCCCAGAAGAAAGCAAGGGCAAATTACTTCTACACTTTTGCCAAGAATACAGCATATACATGTCCATGGAGTTATCAGTTGAGGTTATCTTTACCTGCCTGTTGTATGTAATATTAATCCCTGTTCAAATAGTATATTACTGAAATAATTAGTTACTTTGTGTAATAGTTTAATGGAAAAAATACATGGTCATTAGAAGCTGAGGGTCGTTGGATATGAGATAGGTGGCAAATAAATTTCTTAAATAAATTAATAAAATAACAACACATAATCATGTAATATTTTACTGTTCATGTATCTCTCCTTCAGTTATTCAAATTAAATTTGTTTCTTCAAGTCAGTCTTGACTCCTGGCAACTATATGAACAAGTGCTGTTTCCTTGGCAAAATTTTTACAAGTGGCTTGCCATTTTCTTCTTCCTAGGGGTGAAAGAGAGTGACTTGTCCAAAATTACCCAGATGGTTTTGTATTTTGCCAAGTCTAGAACTTGCAATCTCCTAATTTCTAAGTTGGTGCCTTTACTTCAGTGGTAAAATCCTCCACGGTTTGTCACTGGTTCGCTGCCCGCACATGCGTGGTGTGCGCCAAGCGTGTGCTGTGCATGCGCAGTGTGCGCCAAACACATGCTGGGCATGCGTGCACATGCACAGTACATGCCAAACGCTGCATGCAGAAAAAGGTTTGGAAAGGTAAGTAGAACAGTGAGGGGGGAAAACAGCTGTGCCGCGTGATTTAGATTCACTAGAAAGCAGGATTTCCTGCTTTCTAGCGATTTTAAATCGCACGGCACAGCTGATTGTCAGAAATACCGGTTCGGACCAACCGGTAGCTTTTTTCACTACCGGTTCGCTCAAACTGGTGCGAACTGGTAGGATTTCACCACTGCTTTACTTACTATACCAAACTGGATTTTTTTATTACTACTACTTCATAAATCATGCTCAATTTGCAATGGAAACAACAGGAAAAAAAAAACAGAATTGCAGTGATATGAGATTTCAAGTGAGTTTGATCACCAAAATAGCTTACTTATAAATAAAGAGTGCAGAACCTAGGAATTTGCAAAATAGAGAGATACCTGAAATAACAGTCATTCTTATGGATTTTTTAAATGTGCACTTCAGAACTAAAAGTTTCATTACTTAGGAGCATGAAGAAGATTCTTTTCAGTTAAACTGAAACTTGGCATACTATAATGTATGCTGAGTAAATACTATGTCGGAAGAATGGAAGTGAGATTCAAAAGATTAGCATTCTCATCATAAATACCTAAGTGGTGGAATAATTTAACTGGTATCAGGAAAAAGCCATAGACTGGCTAAAGCCAAAAGCCAGAAACTCATTTCCGGTCCATGGGCTCGTGGTTGTTTGTTCACATATTTTGTTTAGTTTGCTCTGGATGTGATTGTGCTTTTCAAATTATCATAGTTACAATTCAGCAACATTCAAATACGGAACTTTTTCTTTGGGCGGCTCACCTAATGCTTTTGTTGATTTTTTTCTTTTTTATACCAGGCAATCTCTCTTTCATTGCAACATAACTAAAAGTATGCTATGGATTAAATAAAAATAGGGGAACTTGCAGAATTGCAAAGTCTTAGTTGGAACTCTTGCACACTCCCTAAGCATCTTTTGGACAACATTCTAATCTTTTAAATTGGATACTCATATTCTTGATTTTATTCATGTTATTTCAAGCAGAAACAACATTAATAAACTTGAGGTTGGCTGGGGGTATTATTTTTAAATAAGACTTTGAAACAGACATTGTATACATGTTTTCCAGCCCAAAT